TGAAAATATTAAACACCCAATGCACATTTAACTTGGCCATTTAGGCTTTATTGATAAATAATAAATAAATGTAACAAACAGATTAAGATATGTTGATATTTACATAAAAATGCTCAGCTAGATTTACTTTCTAAAACAAAATTTAATATTCTAAATAAATTTGAATATTTTAGAAACAAAAAATAAGAAAATACTCTAAATCATTTAATATATAAATTGAAGATCTAAATAATGATATTTTAAATAATATATAATTATATTAAGATTGTTAAATTCATGATAATCTTAAATTTATCTATTATCTGCAATTTATACAATAAAATTGTAAAATCTAAAATAATTCTATTTTTTTATATTAGGATATGTTTGATTTTCACACATTAATATCATGTTTTTATATTCATATACATATATAAATCATTATATACTTTTTATTTGTTTTTTCTACTGATTTATTACTATTTATTACTCTAAATACATAATTATTATAATTATTTATTTAATTTATTCTAATCATTAATTTACTATTTATTCTAAATTCATAATTATTGTAATCAGTTATTTGATTTATTCTAATCATTTATTTACTATTTATTATTCATAATTCATATTATCAAATTAATTTTATTTGTATATTCTTATCATTTATTTACGTTTTTCATTCAAAGTTCATAATTATTGTAATTTATTTGAGTTATTCTAATAAATTATTTGCTATTAATCATTCTACTTTTTTCATTAATAAAATTTCAATTCAGATAAACACCATCATTTCATCATTAATGAACATAAATCTTTCATAAAAAAATATAAGTAATCAAATACCTAAATGATTCAACTCATTGGATGGTTTAAATTTCTAAAATATTTCAATCCACATTTGAATAAATAAACCAATAATACAAAAAGGATGAAAAAATTATTAATAATGAAAAGGCTAATATTAAACGTGAATTGAAACAGGATAGAGATAAAATATTGTAAAACACTTTTGTAAATCGATTTACATCATTATGTAATAAATTTAAAAAATTTAAGAAATAGAATTTAGGGATGGTATCGATTTTATCGCTTAACAGCATTAAAGAGGAAGTAAGATATAATAAAACGATCTTTTATCTAATAAGTTAATAATTTTAAAGTTCATAATTATTTATCATTTTAACCAAAGGAAATCCAATTTCATCGGAGACAAAAATAATGAAGCAAATATGAGAAATCAAAGTTTAAACACCCCCTCCATGAATGTTACAAATATATAAACACAATTAAATGTAGTTAACTGGAACATCAAAAAGAATACCTTATCTATACTACAAACACACTGTCCACACATAATCTGCTTATAAGAGGTGAGAGGTTAATAAGTAGAATTCTCAGTTAGATAAATATATATCCTCTTCAAAATACCGAAAGATCTGGAGTTTAATATTTTTATATTCATATATTTTAATATTATTTAAATTATGCAAACCATTTATATTAATATTGCTTAGAGCAATTAAATATCTATTAATTAAACTATTAGGTTTATAATTGTTCAATATTAATATATGATTATATTTCTAATCATTGATTATTTTTAAGTAAGTTCAATGACATGACCATATAAGAATCCCCTCTATTATTTTATTAATATATTTCTTATATCATAATTATTATTTCAAATATGGAAATTCTAAATGCATTCAGTTGCTCCATATATAATTGAAACATATATTTAGTAGTGTTGAATTTTTTGCTAAGATAAATTTAATTGGTTAAGAAAAAAATTATTTTGGTTTAATTTGGCATAACCAATACTTTGCATATTATTATCCTAATGGTTTGATTCTTCATCCTTCATCCTTCAAATTTTGAATTAAATTAATTTTTTCAATTTATATGAATAATTTTGTCGTTACTAATCAAATTAATTAATAATGCTAGATTTTAAGGAAATAAAATGATTTCAGCCCCTGAATATTAAAAAAAATTTAATATGATTTTTTATTTGTTGTAGCAAATAACTGGAGCTAAAGTGGGAAATAATTTAAGCAGCTAGTCTTCTTCCAATTCATAGCTTTTAATGAAATGTTTGGGTACTAATGAAATTCATGAACGGATTCTTGAAATGAAATTTGATAAAGTTAGATATTTAAATAAATAACATCCATCCCCATCCCTCAGAGGAGGAGGATGTGGAGGATCCAAAAAAAAAAGTCAGATGTCAATCACAATTCCTATTAACTACTAATCAACAATGAAATAAAATTGCCAAATACTTATAGATAAATGTGATTAAATTTCGGATGGTTTTTCAAGAAATGAATTAATGATGTCAATATAATGGTTTTCTGATAATAGATATTGGATTTGTGAAATTTGCAAAAATGACAACTTGATATTGATGCTTTATGATGTCGCATTAAATTCATTTAGACAGCTTATTTCAGTAATACCTGTTTATTTAAGGGGTTCAGGATGTCTTTGCTATTATGTTTTAGAAGTTTGTAATGATTTATTATTGATAATTTATACCTATTAACTAAATGATGATAGCCGTTATCTTACAGTTGAAATGCATGGCGATTTATTAACAGAGATTGATATTATCAAAAATGATCTTGAAATTCATAAAAATTTTTGGATAAGGGGATTGGAATTTTAAATCACTTTGATAAAAATAGTCTTAATAAATAGTAAGACAAATTCAAAGGAATAATAAGATAAATTAATATCTATTGCATCTTCTGCTTTTTCTTCTATATTATCACTCTCAATAAGTGAAGATTTTACAAATGCCTTATTTGATTTTGCAAAATATTTGTTAATTGAAAAATTTAATTAGTATAGCTTTCCTATTCAAACATACTAGATCTATTACTTCTTCTTTCTGTTAAAATGGAATATCATAAAAAATATTTAAGAAAAGAATGAACTTAATAAATAAATAGAAAGTCTCTAGCGAGGATATGAATAATATGTATAGAATTCAGATAATTGGATAGTACACTTTTGTTGGATAAATGCTATTTCAGATTTGATTGCATATAGGTAAATTATTTCAAAAAGTGTGTTTCTTAATAGCTTGCAACCAAAATAATTATGGAATGATTTAATTAAACAAAATATTATAAAAGTATTATCATATGATAAATTGCTCGGAAAAGTAAATAATGATTTTTCCTTTAAGTCCATAGACTATGAATCCGAACAAACTTTAATTAATTTAGGGGTGAAAAAGATCAAAAGTTTTTAAAATGCTATATTAAATCAATAATTTTATAATAAATAAAATTTCTTTTAATTTTATGTAAATTTTACCTTTTAAAAACAAAAAAAACCACAAGAGAAAACCACTATATCACAACAACTTGAATTATTGGGTGCTGATGAATAGATGAAGAGGCTAAATCGTTTAAGTTTATTGTTAAAAGAGATTAAAGAAAAGATCACTATATAGTATTCTGAAAGTTTAGGAAAATCATTCCAAACCACTCCTTAAGAAAAAGAAACTAAAAATAATGTTAATAAATATGATCTTATATTAGATAAAGATGGAGAAGTGTAATAATTAGATTTTACCCTTTTAAAACTTTCCTACTTGCTTAATGAAGTAAATTTCACTATGATTATTGAGAAAAAGAGGATGGAAATCTGCCAAGAATCAGCCAAAATGAATGAATACTAAAACGAATAAGAAAAACAAAATTAAAATAAAAAAGAGAAAAATAAATTATTAAGTTAGATTGACGATCAATAGAAATAGCTTGAAAAAATTTATGATGACTGGTTAAAAATTGATTTACCTAAAAAATACAATTAAATTTTTGACCTCATCGCCAACAATAGCGAATCTCTACCTAAGTTATCTAAAGGTGAAAAAATCAAATCTTAAGAAAAATAAATGTAGAGTCAAGAGAATGAGTTGAGTATATTTTTTAGAGATGTTTAGATTTTAATAGAAAAATATTTATAAGAACTGAATATTTAACAATAATCATTTAAGAATTTTTGGAGACTTAATTAGTCATCTCTAAAATAATATAATGAATAATTAGATTAAAACATGCACGATTTTTTCTTAGATATTATCGAAAGGGATAAATTCTAATTTAATAATAATGAATACCATAAAGAGTTTAAGGAGAGACTTATTTAATAGAGTTTTCAAACAATTGACGAAATATAACAATTTAACTAAAATATTTAGAAATATATCAAAATTATGAAAATTACATAAGGTTAATATCTGCAGAAAGTTTATATTTTTACAAATTTTGAGTTAAATCTCAAATCCACCTTAGAAATTAAATAGAGTAGAGTCATTATATAATAAGACAATGATTAAGAATAATAAATATCGATAAATGAACTGATTTCAGAATAGTAAAAAGATATTGAGACATAAATTTAAAAGGAATTTTAGGATAAAAATGATATTTAAAGAATACTAGATTAAATAGTAATATTAAGAAATAAAATTATAATAAATTTTGCATATTAATAATCCGACTAAGTAAGTTAAGCTTTAATTCTATAAACTTATCTTTATAATTCATTTTATAAATTTAAATTGTCATCTTAATAAGATCCTGATTAATTCAAAAAGGAGATATTAGAAAAATATCAGTAATATAAAGAAAATTAAATATTGAATTATAATCCATAGGAGAATCCTATCGATCAAGATTAGAAAGAGTGTATTTTATAGAATGGGTATTTAATTCATCTTTCTAGAAAATTAACAGAATGGAATAAATAAATAATAAATTTAAACAACATAATAATTAATATGGAAGTATTATCTAAATATGTTCATTAAAATTGCATGGGTTTCATATATATAACTGAAGATAATTTTCAAAAGCATTTTTTAGAAAATGTTAAATCAATAATTAAAGAAATTAATAAATTAATTAGAATTGGATAAATTGTTAAATGAATTTACTGAGAATATGATAAATAAATAATAGACAGACGATAATTAATTCAAAAATAAAATAAATTTTTCATTAAAAGATTTTGCCTCAATTTTTTGTTATAATTTTGGAACTTTAGAAATCAATGTTAAGATAGATAAGGAATACTAAGAAATAATAGATTATTTAAATTAAGAAATAGTTTCGGAAAGAAAATTCTATGATTTGAGTAAAGATTATATAGTTCGAGAATGTTTCCTTTTCCATTTAATGAAAATTTAATCTTAAATTCCTGAAAAAGAATTATTATTGCTTTGCCAAGAATATATAAAAAGAATATGGATGATAGAAAAAGATGAAAGTGTGAGAGCGTTACTAAAAAATAAAGAGATGATAGAAATGTAAAAGATATTGTTTTCTCATGATCTAAAAACCTTATCTGCTAGTATTAAAGATGAGATGAATTAAAGATTGAAGGAAATGGATGAAATTGAATAAGCAATTCGCTTTGAAAGTAATTAATCCAATAGAATTACATTGTAGAAACAGTTAACAAGTCAATATGAGGAATTTGAGGAATTTCTTGATAATATTTCTGAAATGTCTTAATAATTGGATATTACTTTAATCTTTTTAAAAGAGCTATAAAAAAATGTAAAATAAATAAAAAAGAAAATAGATGATCTTTAAGAATCAATAAATGAGATTGGAAATGATGTAAGAAAATTACGAGGAAAAAAATATGAAGAGCTATTATAAATTAGAAAAGAAAAGGTATTATAATAAGCCTATATCTTGGAACTTGATTCTGTGTATATTCCATTAAAAACTTAGGAAGTCAATCCTGTTACAGGTTAAGTTTAAAATACTATTTCAGGTTCATAGTTTTCTGAGTTGCTTGTTGAAGATGTCAAATAAAACAATAAAGAAGAAAGGGAAGGTGAAGTTAATTAATTTATTTATGAAGAAGAGAATAAAGATGTAATGTTGATTAAAGGTCTTGCTGGCTCAGGAAAAAGCAGAGCAGCTAGAAAGATAGAAGAGTATCTTTGGAAATAAAACTTAGACTAAAACGATTGGGTTCCTATCTATATTTCATTGCCTTAATTAAAAAATCCAAAGTTTAATTTAGTAGATCAAGCACTTGAATCTGAAAATTATGGGTTTGATAAGTTACAATTGAAAGATTTCAAAGAAGCAATTTAGAACAATAAAATTCAAATCGTAATGATACTTGATAGTTATGACGAAATGAAATAAGATTGTATTTAATCAAATTTAATATTAACAAATAGACTAATATAAGAACTTGATCTTCATTAAATAAATTAAAGAAGAAAAGTAAAATTTATAATAACAACCCGAAAAGAAATATTGACAAGTTTAGGATATTAGACATGGTTTTATGGAGAAAGTCTTATGACATTCAAAGAAGTTGAAATCATGAATTTTGATAAGTAATAAAGTGAATGTTATCTCAACCATTATGTTAAATTAAGTATTAAAAGAAGAATTAAATCATAATATGATTTTGTCAAGTAAGTTAAATAATAACAATAAAATGTTCAAGAATTTTTAGAGATTTGGAATAAGATTTTAAATAAATTGGGATATTAAGATATGGAAAATTGTGAAAATTCTGATAAGTTACTATTAGATGAATAAATTGAGAATATTTTGGAAGTAATAAGAAAATAGCCTACATTTCAATATGTATAATAAAATTAGCTAATTATTTTAAAAAAAGAACTTAAAGAATTATGGAGCGCAAAGTTATTTAATAAAACTATCGAGAATCTAAACATTTATCATTTCTTATAAACTCCATTTATGCTAGAAATAGTAGTTTAAACTCTGCCAAGTCTTTCAAAAAAATACAAAGGATCTAATGATGTTAAGGAAATGTTTCAAAATAACTTCCTTCTATTGAAAAATAAAGAAAATTTATCAAAAAGACTATTGTTATAATTCTCATATTAAGAATAAAAAAATGAGCAGGCTATCAAAGAGGAAACAAAAATTTAGGAAAAGCAGAATGAACAAGATTAAGAGTATCAATAAGATTTAAAATGTCTAAAAATCATCCTTGAAAAATTGGAAAGCTAGAGATTTTTTGAAAATTATTCAATAACTGACATTTCTTTGTTAAACAATTAATTAGCAGATATAAGTAATGATGATTTAAAGGTTGTGATTTCAGCATTTAAAATGAAGATATTTACAATTTATGAATTCTATTAAAATTTTATAGAGTTTTATCATGAATAATAAATCTAGAAACTTAGACAATTAGGGAAAGTTGAAAATGTAGATAGTTTTACAATAGATCTAGTATAATTTTCAGAATCATTAGCAATAGAAATGACTATTAATTAAATAACATAAGTCAATTATGAGTAAAAAGGAAAATTACAAATGAAAAATCATTATTTTGATTAAAAAGATAAAGACAAATGGAAAATGCAATATTTTGATGATTTGGAAGATGAATATAGAAAACTTGTTAGAAGCTCTGCATTGATTAATATGAAGGGGAAAAACTATTCTTTTAATCATAAATCTTTATAAGAATTTTATGTTGCACAACACATCAATAATTTAATTGATAAACTTGAATTGAAAGATAATTAACTCACCTATAATAGCTAAACCTATTTAGAAACCTCTGTCTTTAACAATAAAGACTTTAATATCTCACTAGAAAATTACTCTGGATCATTAAGTATTCTGAAACAAAAACTAAAACTTAAGTATGAAAATATCCGTAAATTAATTTCCATGGTTAAATTATCTACAAATCTGACATTTGAGGTGGTCTCTTCAAATAGTTTTTGTATTCTAAGTCATTTATAAGTATATCTAGGAGAGTAAGACTTTTCAGGGATAAAAATTAAAAAGACCACCCTTAAAGGATTATCCTCTCTTAATAGTAGATCTTAGAATTCAATTTTCGAAGAGGTAATTATTGACTCTTGTTTATTCGACAAAGCTCATTTGGAGAAGGCTAGATGGAAGAGTGTGATATGCTCTGAAAAACCATTGTTATAAGGACATAAAAGTGGCGTTGTTATAATTTAATATTCAAATGATGGTAAATTAATAGCAAGTGCAGACTCTGAAAAAATTGTAAAGTTTTGGGATGTGTTAAATTTTTAGTTATTGGGAGAAATAAGCGAAATATCTAATATAACTAAATTCTTGGTATTCTCGGGCGACGACTAACTTGTATTTATCTGCAGTGATAAAAATATAATTGAGATTTGGTCAATTACTGATCTTAAAAGTATCAAGAAATCAGATTAGCAAATTATGAGATAAGAAAAAATCATATAAATGCAATTGTCGTTAAATGATAAGGAATTAATTGTTGTTGATGAATTAGGTTTTATTGAATTTTGGGATGTAAATTTAATTAAATCTAATTTCAATTAAAAAGATGGATTTACCTTAAAAAGCTCTGAAAGCGAGATAAAATTCATTTCATTTTTCTAGAATGGTGAAATGTTGGCTTCAGTAAGCGAAGACAAAAAGGTTACACTTTGGGATGTAAAAGAACAAAAAGTCTCAACTGAAATAGAATTCTCTTTTCAAATTACATATGTAGTAATGAACTCAACATTTGAATTACTCTATTGTGTTTGCGATTGTTCAGATTTTAAAGGTTTAGCTGTATGGAATATTGAAAACATTAGCCAACCTTATTTACTTCTAACTTCTACTAAATATAGAATTGAAAATATATTATTCACCTCAGATGATTAATAATCAATATATAAAATTGGAGATGTATTATTAATTTAAAACATTAACAACATATATAAATAAGAATAATAATATTAAATTACAGGCTGTTCTTGCATTGATTTCTCACCAGATGAAAATTTAATAGCTACTGGTAATAAATAATAAATAATACTTTGGGAATTGTTTACATATTCTCCAATCATGACTTTTGAGAATGATTATTCAATAGAGGAGCTTTTATTCATTAGCAATGGAAAAAAATTACTAAGTGGAGATTATTCAAAAAGTTTAAGACTTTGGTCAGTGGAAACATGCTAATTAATTGCAACTTTTGAAAATTCCTACTCTTAAAATATAACCATATCATAAGACTTTGATAAAGTAGTTTATTAAATATAAGGAGATAATCGATAATTAGGAATAATAAGTTTAAATAAAATTTAATTGAAAACGATTGATGATATTTCCCTATATGGTAGAGTATTTTCTATTTCTTAAAATGATTAATTAATTGTGAAATCTGGTAGCAGTGATTTTATTGTTGAATTTATGAAAGGCAATGGGAATATCGAATTCGAGAAAAATTATAATTAATTTCAATTAGGTGCATTTTCTCATAAATCCTCCCTCTTTGCAAGCATTAGTAAGGATTCAAAAACTTAAATTTGGGTTTAAGAAGAATTAAAATTTTATCAAAAGTATGAAATTAAATTGGACTGTAAAATATCATCAATAGTATTTTCTTATGATGATAAATATTTAGCCTTGGCATCAATAAGTGATAAGTTAATAATAATTTGGGATTTTGGCTAAAATTAATTGTATTCTTTAAATGAATCTATTAATGATTAGAGTCGGTACAATTATTTTAGTATATCACCAGAAATCTGCTTTTCTTATGATTGTTTATGGGTTGCATTCTATAATAACGAAGATATAAAAATATGGAAATTCATTTCTGACGAGAGTATTGTTACTTTTAAAGGAGCTGATTCATCAATAAAAACTATTGCATCTTCTCCAAAATAAAATATATTTGCTACTTCTAGTGATGAATTGAATATTAAATTTTGGGATTTCGAGACAAATTAATTAATATATTAATTTGAGACAGGTGAATACATCAGATCCTTATGTTTTACATATGATGGAAAATATTTAATTAGTGCAAAAAGCGTTATGAAATTATGGGACATTTCAAATTTCCCATAACTCAAATTATTAGCTGCTTAAGAAAGTAAAAACAACGAAGATGTGCAAAGAATAGTTTGCTTACATCAAATATAAGGTATTCTGTATACTTGCTCTGAGAGGAGTAGAGTGATTTAATTTGATGACTTTAAATATATAGGAGTTTTAGAGAGTTCAGATAATTTGCATGTTCAAACTTAATTTTCAGCTGATGATCAACATATCGTTGGTGGAATAAAAGAAAAAGTAGTAATGTGGAAAATATAAAGCAATTGTAAAATTGAATTCAGTTTTCCACTTCCTGGTACCATTGAGTCAGTTTAATATTGTTAAGATAAAGAAAGATTGATTGTCACTATTCCTTCTGGGATATATACTTTGAATATCAAATCAAACAATTTGCTAGAATTAATTCCAAATCTGAAATCTGCATTCTATGCGAAAATGTTTTTTAATGAAGGATATCTGTATACAAAAGAATTAGAATCAGTAAAAATTTGGAGGAATGATGGAAATAATAGGTTCACTTTAATTGACTATTACAGTAAATCATCCAATGAACATATTGTTTTTTCAAAAGATGGTAAATATTTGGCAAAGGTTTTGGATAGTTATAGTCTTTCAAATTCAAAAGTTTATGCTGTAACCCTGACTGGCAAATAAAGATTTATTAATAATAAAGATTTAAGTATAATTGCGATATCGAATAACTCATAATATATAATATACGGAAATCAATAGTTGTCGAAATTATCGTATTTTGAATCAAATCTTCTTATTGAAGAATTCTCTCACCTAGGAATTGTTGAATTTAGCCCAGATAACTGCAATATAGTGTCTCAGAATAACTAGATAATTACAATATTCAACATTAAATCAAAATAAATCATAGGTTAAGTTTAAACCGAGAAAGATTATTATAGTTCTTTATAATTTTCGAATTATGGCAAAATTTTAATATTAGTAGGCTAAAAGATACATCTTTTTAATTTAGAAGACATTCATAAACCTTAATCTATTGGAATAATATATGGGAAAATAAACTCAGCTCTTCCTAAAACATCATTTAACTATCTTGCTAACATTTTTGATAAAAATTAAATCTAATTCACTGATATGATTATTAGAAAGTTTATTAAATCTATAGTTGCTTGTGATGCTTACAGTTTAAAAGATTTAGTTCTTTTACAAAATGAATCAAAAGTAGCTTATATAGAGTATAAAACATTTAAAGTTAGAGATTTGATTGGATAGTAAATAGAAAATAATTATCATGAAATAAAGGAAGATTGTGATTGTATAGCTATATCTAAAGACAGAAAAAATGTTGTTTTTTCTGCAGGTCCAAAAATCTATATTTATGAGAATAAAACACACCAAGAATTCAATAAATTGGAAGAGAATGTAAATTTCTTAAATATTTCATTCTCTTAAGATTCAAAATTCTTAGCTGGTTGTGGAAATAATAAAACCATTTATTTTTGGGATTTTAAGGCAAGAAAAGTAGTAGCTAAATTCCAAGTTCACTCAGAGAAAGGGAATGTAGTTTAAATATCTTAAGATAATTCAACATTGGCATCTGGCAGTGATGACAAATTGATAAGATTATGGAATTTAAATGCCAACTTAAACAAGATATATTAAGATGGACATGAGAAGGAAATTACAAATATAGTGTTCTCAGCAGATAGTTTGGTGTTATATTCTGGAAGCTTAGATAAAACTCTTAAATTATGGGATATGGAGCATAAGAATTTATTAATTTCAAAGACGTTTGATTATAACATACATTCCTTTTCAGTTACTCGTAATTAAGAATGTCTTCTCATAACACAAGGAGGAGAAATACAATAATGGAATATTTAATATAATTAAGCGTTATAAAAGTCTAAATTCTAATTCATCCCTTGTGGATGCTACTCCTATAATTTTATAATAAAAAGCGCTCTGTTAAAATTCTAATTATTCTCAAACGATAACCTATTCATTACTTTATCCTTGAACTCATTTAAAGAGATAGATCAAAAGTATTATTATTTGTCTTTTGTAGAAATCTGGAAAAGAGATCATTAAATTGAAGAGTCTGTTTTTTTATATGAATATGGTGAAATTGAAATACGCCTTTACTAAATATCATAAGATTTCAAATATATATGCTCTGTAGACTCTCAAAATTAATTAACTCTAGGGAAGTTACTGTAAACATCTGAACCAAAATTGATACAATTAAAATAGTTTAACACAGAAGAAATCATTTATCTTCTATTTTCAAATGACTCTAAAATATTGTCTTCGGTTGATAATTAAATCATAATATTTAGGCTTTTAGATGGTGATGAATTGCTTTGCAGCCTAAAAATAAACTTTGATCCTCGTGACTTTTTACAATATTTTACAGATGATGATAAATTTTATTATACAAATTTTAAGAATTAAATCTATTTGTGGGATGTAAATCATTTGATAAAAGATTAAAATATTTCCACTTCGCAGTTAGAATTAGTTCTAGAAAATCTTGATATTCAATGTTTTACAATATCAAATTATGTCAAATATTTAGCTATTGGACTAAACGATAGTCAAGACAATAAAATTTTAAGATTAGTGGAATTAATTTCAATCGAAACAATAAAAACTATTCAATATCATAGCAAAATCAATTTATTATAATTTTCTGATGATGATTTGCTTTTGGCAGTAGCTAATCAATTAAATGAAATATCAATTTATGAAATAGATCCATTTTCTTTAAAGCATTCTTTTAAATGCCATTAAGCAGAAATAATCCTCATGAAATTCTTCTATCTAAAAGAACCTGAATAAATAGAAAATAATAATGATGAATCTGAAAAAATTGAATAATCTGATAAAATTGATAATCTGGATGTTTAATCTGAACAAACAGAAAGGAAATAAGAAAGTAAAAAGGATATAAATTTAAAATCAATTTTATGTATTATTTCATTTGATAAAAACTCTTCCATATTAATCAATTATTTGAAAAATTAAGACAGTCAAAAATAAAAAATATAATTACCAAATAATTCTGACCATTCAATTTAAAAAGTGTTTTTTAGCAAAGATATCGAGAAACTTGTTGTAATTACTTAAGATCAAAATTTAAACTTTGAATGTACTATTTATCAATAGTCTGAAAATTAGTATAATTAATTAAAATCAATTTAACAATGTATAATTGCTGATTTTAGTTTTGATCAAAATTATTTAGTTTATAGTAATCAAGAAGCAGAGTTATACTTATTAAATTTATAGAATTATTTTTTTTCTTATAATTAAGCAATTAACTTAAAATATAATGATAATAGCTCAAGAGACCCTTTTAATTTTCTCAGTTTGAACTCGGAAAAATCAATTTTATTTTGTGGAAATAAGGAATAGATGTTTTGCTGGAAATTGTGTATAGAAGAAGATATGGTACAATTACTATTGCTCAAGACAATAAAATGCAATAATTTTGATTACTCAACAATGTTTATAAAATAGGAATCTCAAATCTTTTTTCAAACAAATAATACAATTTAGAAATTAGATTTCACAGACGCAATAGGAAAACTGAAAGCTTGTCTCATATATTACTAAGAGAAAAATTAAAGATCTGAATACTACATTAAAACTTTAATTGTGCCTAAAATTGAATTTAAAAATTGTAGTTTTTCTTCAGATCTTTCATTATGTGTTAGTGTAGGATAAGGTGGACTTTTTGTTGATAAATACAGAAGGCACTCAAATAGAAAGGCAATAGAAAATGTATACTTTAAATATTTAATCTTATGGAACGTTAAAACCTTAAAATATTCTACTTTATTAGAAACATACACATCTAAAGTTTCTAATAATTATGAAACTATTGAACTTCCGATAGGCTTTACTGCGATTGCTGTATTCTTTCCTAAATAAAAGATTATGGTTTATAATAATGATGACAAAATTGAATTTAGGGATTGCCAAGATTTTGACTCTCTAAAAAGAATTGCAACTATCAATAATGATAGAAGAATTCTTAATTTACTAGTTTCCAAAGATGAATAATTATTAATATCAATTTGTGAAATTGGTATATTCAAGCTTTGGAATATCAGTGAGTTAGATAAAATAATTCTGTCCCGAGTTATTTACTTTAATGAAGAAGAATTAGCTAAGTTTAGATTTACTAAGGATATTTGTTGTTATAGTCTTCATAGAGAGGAAGGTGAAAAGTTATACTATTTGGAATAGCTCAATCTTGCAAGTTCTCCATCTTTCAGGGCTTTACAATAATTTCACAAATTTGATGCTTTCTCAATAATGTAATAGTAAACTATTATTGCATTCGGAGGATCAACTTTATTTCTTTGGAATTATATCACGGATGAAAAAAAAGAAGTCGAAGGAAATTATAACAATCACTTTACTTCAGTTGTTTTTATAAATAATAGCGATCTTCTAGCAGCTGCAATTGGTAGTGACATTAATTTATTTAATGTAAATAGTGATCCCTTAGGTTTGAAATTAAATAATGAATTGAAAGGACATGAAGGGGAAATAATATGCTTATCTATCTGTTAAGATAATTCAATTATAGTATCTGGTTCCTAAGATCACACTATAAGATTTTGGAGCATTAAATAATCAGCCACTGTTTAAATTATTAAAGGCTTTATTGAAATTATTTCAAAAATAACATTATCTCCAAATGGTAAAGACATGGCAGTGGCTATGGAAGATGGATCAATCAGACTCTTTAAACTTATGTTTCCAAAAGATATACATGAGATACACTTAGATCAAATGAGCAATTAAGGAGACTACATCCACTGCTATAGAATATTTGGGAGAGATAGTTTAATATCGGCAAGTAATTGTATTTTATCAGATACAGTTATAGAATAAGATGGTAAGTCATTAGAAATATTGTTTGAGTAGAAAGGATCTAAAATCATTAGATTTTGAACATATTATATATGCATATTTCCAACATAAATATTCAAGATCTTAATCATAATTTATTAAAGCCAACTCATTATATTCTTGAATAGGATATAAATTTATAATAATAATAATAATATCATGTTATATATCAATATCTCTAACAAATGTATTTCTCATCAAGTCTCATTGTTAATAAGTGATACATATTTTTAAGTTAAAATATGCATAATTGGCTTCCAAGTTTAATTTTCATGAGATTCCTTTTGATATTATGCTGTTTATCAATTAAATGAAATAATTTAAGATATAGAAATATTATGTATTTTAAATATTTATTATTTACATTACTTTTGGTGGTTAGCTTTGGCATAAATACAGATTATGACTGTATTTCAAATAGACAATGCTCAAATGAGATGCAGCATATACTATCGCAAGTATTAAGTCGGAAATTACATAGGAAGGAGAGAGCCAAGTGGTGTTGTTCTATTGTATGAGAAATACAAGAATTTCATCGTAATTATTGAATGTTAGACAATTCATTGAGTGTCTGAGAGGGAAGCAAACAGAATAAATTTAAATTCTTATCAGATGTGCAGATGAGAATTGTTTGTGATTTATTCATCTATTTAGCCTTGTGAGACTATGAATTTTAATTAATTATTTTAATATATAATATTATGGCAGACGTGAGAGAATAGAGAATTTACTGTGCTGAATAGATTGTAGTACCTCCTGAATTACCTGTGATATTGAAACATTATGCAAAGGAAGTTATTAGAAACAAGCCAGGAGATGTCGTAGACTTCTCTGCAAAATATTTTAGATCATTATTAGAAAAAAGAGGTAACTGTTTTGTTTAATTTGAATTTTTTAGCCAAAGAACACGAATTTTCTGAGATAGTAAAACAATGAAACCAATATTAATTATTATTAGAATATAAATTATCTCACTTTTTAGTTTTCATATCGCTTGCTTATTGTTAATCATGCTAAGCTTTAAGTTTTTTAATTTTATCTTCTAAATATCTTTTATCTTGCTCTCTTCTCTTTTGTAATCTCTGCTAACTCAATACACCCAATTAGAGTTTGCGTAGGTTACAGAATAACTCTTCAATTTCTTAATTCAAAGCTAATTTAGTATTTTGCAGCACTTCTTTTAACTACCTATCCAATTTATCTTTGATTGAAGAAGGTAAAGGTAATGCTTCATTGATCCATTTATTTCTTAAATAAACTATTCTCTCAGTGGTTGTTTTTTTAACTTCCTCATTTCTTTAAGACATATCTATCATATAATTGATCGATTTATCATCAATATCCTAAATGAAAAATACATCTTACATCATATTCTTATAAATTAATTGATTTGCATAGACTTTTGTGTTCCCTCTCTTATTTTTTTATTTATTGATCAACCTTTCTTAGATCTTCTTGCAACTTCTTGTCTTCATCACAAATTTACTTTGTTCTTTTTAAGTACTTTTCAAGTTCCATATTTCTAAATCGATCATATTCTTCATCATAAACATAATTGTATAGAAAATGTGATTTATCATTCCTTTTTTATAAGACCTCATTAACAACACTGTAATATCTATCCTTCAATTCATAAATATCTCGGTTTTTATTTTGATATGAATATCTATCAGAAAGCACTATGAAATTGTAATTATAGTTCCTCAATTAATTGAATAAATATTAAGTCTCTTCAAAACTCCAATCATTGTCAATACTTATTTCCTCTTCTTTAAATTCAAGATATTCCGGATCTTAATTGACTTTTTCTCCTTTAAACATTAACCCTCTTTCTTGTTCTGGTACCCATGCCTTTACTTTTTATATATTCTCATTAGTCAGCACTATTTCCTCCTAAACCCATTTCTAATGATTGAGCGGTTTTGTTTATGAGAATAGAGCAAAGGGATAAAGACCTCCTGTCAAATTGAGTACTTCTTTATCCACATAGGAATTAAGCTTTCTCAATTCTTTTTTATTCATTATTATTAATATTATATCAATAATTTACACCCTGATCCCTTGTGAGTATTTTTGTTCTAAAATGCTGGAAACACTGGCCCTATTAAATTTTAGAATCTCTCTCCATTTGGATGCATCTTTGAAGTTATAGTCATGCACTTATTGTCCATATCAACTAAGACTTTAATAATCAAGGATTCTCTTTGATATCCATAATTTAGCGTAGTTCCAACAATCTTTCTCTATTTATTGGCTACTCCAACAACTAAGCTAGCTGTCAAATCTTCAATTATTCCATTGATTATCAATTTAATTTCCCAAGACCATACTCCAAAATATAATGGATTTGTGCCTAACACTAATCCAGGTTTCTCAAATAAAACCTAGATATCATTATTAATAGTTTTCTTAGAAATTATTAGACTATCCTCTACAGATTAGTATTGAGGAGTGGTTAAATTCAAGATTTCACTGAATTCACTCGTCTTGTTTTCAAACGTGCTTTACACTCTAAACTTATAATTGGTTTTAGCTTATAATCCATTAATTATAAATTACGGTTCTGTGCCTTAATAAATCTATTTAAACTATTCAATTCCTTTGATTTTCATTCCTATTCCCATTTCTAAATTATACTCTACCTTTTGTTTAGAATGAGTCCAATTTAACTATATAGAATTTGATTAACACAATTATTTAACAAATTTTCTCTTCTCAAAAGTTTCACAAACCTCAACAATTTTTTCTTAAGTTTCCAGCTTTTTACAACTGGCACTCCTTTTAACACTGAACTAAGTATGAATTCTACGAGGACTAAGAGTGCTTTAGTCAAGAATTTTCTAAACATCAATATTTAAGATCAATTCAATAATTTATTCTTTGGCGGTTAAATGAAATGTTTCCATTTAGTAATTCATACATTCGGGAATTTCAAAAGATCGTTCTGAGTTTATTTTGACAGCTGCTTCAATTATGCTTATTCTTTATTTAAGAATTTTCATTTATTAGCAGCGATAATTGGATATAGTATCAAGAAACTGTTTTTTTTTCCTATCCAATACTTCTTAGATCTATTCGAAATATCTTAAAACAGAAGTTATTTATTCTTAGGAGTATTATTCAAGTTCTGTGATTATAGACATTTATTTGAGTATTTATTAGTGTAGATTTTAATTGATTTCAATTTTGTTATGTGTTGAAAATTTTCCAATTTTATGAACTGATTGAAAACATTCTTAACAGAATTGAAACATACACTGTTCACATCTGATTTATGCTGAAGTTTGATCACATCTTGAACAAAGTACATTTAAATCAATGTTTGGCACATTTATTTTTTTTGAATCTTTACAGCATATACACAATTCACAGATAACTTATTAGCAACATGTACAAAATGATTATGCTCCTTTGTGTTCACAAAGCATTATGTAGAATGGTGATGTTTTTTAAATTAATTTCTAAGTTAAATTATATGAAATAACTGCATTTTTATTTATAAACAATTATATAGAGTATACAAAAAAGTCAGATAATTATCAAAAATATTAATCCAAAAAAGAATTGTACTAAAATAATTTGAATTGATTACCTATTACAATGCTGAATCACTTAATTAATCATATATATCCATTTTATTCAACAACCTTAACTCCATCATTTCTTTATCATCTTGAGTACTTGATTAAAATAAGTTATCTTCAAACTCCATATCATCAACATTTTTCAATAATTGCAATTATTAATTATCCACATTAGATTTCAAGATAGACTTCTTTAATTCTTCAACTCCAATACTTTCAAGCACTATACAATTATACACCTATATATACTTGATTAAGCTGATATATTTTAGCATATTGGACAATACTTGTTTTCAAGGCAAAATGGATGCATTGTATGACCACATTTTAAAAGAATTGCCTAATCCTAAGTGTATGGTTGTTAACACTCTATACATATTATTTCATATAGATTCGATTTGTTCATTAAAGAATATAGTAACTTAAGCAATTTAATATTATCATTTCTAATTATCTTGGATATCTTTTCTACTAATTACTTTTCATATCCGAATTCTTTAAAAACTGTAATAAAACTACTCTTTAAATGGACTTGATTAAATGTCTCATGATTTATCTCTATTATTTTGATTAATTCTGTTGGAGAGTAGCGGAACAAATGCATGAAGAGCTGACTAAATTACTGGTTGAACACGTAGGATCTTTTGAGTTTACACCAATGAGTTTAATGCATCAATGGATTAAAGATTTGATGTGCTATATATAAATAGAATTCTTAATTATTATCATCTGATTAGACAGCTATCTTAGTCACTCTCATTAGATTCTAAAACAATTAAGTAACTCTATCTTGATTTCGAAATGATAAAATGTAATTTCTAGAGTCCTCTTTGTAGATCTAAAGGTAATTATCGATTGCCTATTGATACAGTCCTTTTTGCTCCATTATGTATCCTAATCCTTCAATATTATTAGTTTATTGGAATATTTGTTCAACATCTTCTAGTTAATATTACCTGTTCTTCAGCCATGAAATGGTGTTTTCTGGTTCATGAATACTGATTAATTCAATTAGTTTCAATTAAAGAAATTGAGAAAGATCGATGGACAAATATTTGAATACATGTAATAATTCTCTTTTTGGCTGATAAATGATGAGTTTTTATAAAGTCTCTATGGGCCAACTTTAAAAGACTTTGGCACATTTCTCAGGATCCAATTCAAGCAGCTTATCAAGATGATCTAGCATAAGTGGATCATAGGGTTGATATTCTAACCATTTGTAGACTCGAAGTTTAAATTCTTCATAATTAAAGAATATTTTAACAGCTTCATTGAATTGATTTTAAGATAGGAAGTAATAAGCAATGTAATCAACACATTAGCTTTCATATGCCTACTCAATCAATGATGTGTGAGGCATTAAATAATAAATTATTTACAAGATCTGATCCAAATCTTCAGGCATAGCTACATAATTATCAATATAAGATTTATTGATTTCAAATATCTGTAATAATAACTTCTCTGAATCCTTGACCTTTATCTAATCAATTATCTTACTGATAAACAATAGATATTAAAGTAAGTATTATTATTTGATGCTACTCACTTGTTCAAATATCTTTGTCGCCAATAAATTCTCTTAAGTTATATTGAAATATGAATACACTGATTCATGATGTAATGCACCAAGACAAGGTTATTTAAGATATGTTGTAAGTATTTGGAATAATTTCTCACTCTGAAATACGTCCAGTACTTCCATCAACCATAACATCTATTATCTTACAGCTTTCTTCCAAATTTCTAATGGAATCTGGTCATTCGGAAACAGAATTTACTTCTATGTGATTTCTATAAACCATAAGCATTTTTCATATAGTTCCTGTTTATGTTTCTCATACATTTTGTTCAAAGGAGTTAGAAAATCTTCTTCCTTTCTTGGACATATGTATAATAATGGAGTGTAAATCTCTTTACTCAAACAAACATCATATGTGTATCCAATATCAATAGAATTCAAATCTAAATTAATTACTAATTTCTAGAAAGACTCAGGAGAGAATTTGTTTGCCAAATCGAAAAATATCTCCTTTGGCAATTAAGTTATTTTCTTCAAATGAATTTCCAACACTCTATAATAATCATCCAAAATCTATTATTTCTCACATCCTTATCTTACAATCATCAAATGTTATGGAATTTGACAAAGAAGGATAAATTAAACAACTGCTGATATCAATTCTCTATTCATCTTAGAATTGGTAATACTAGTAATTAAAGTAGGAGCCAATGTTTGAATTGCACTTCTATCTTCATCCAATTCTAAGTTCGGCATACCTTTCACTTTACCTCTGTAGACTTAGACAAGAAACCTTAATGCTATTGACCATTGAGGGGAATCGTTCTGAATTAACGATTTTAAATATTGTAACCAACTCAAAGCATGCAATGAATACAACTTATTTTCAGAAATGAAGTAGATGACGTTGCTTATTGCTCTTAGACAATAGATGTTTTGATGGAAATGAGTGTTAGAAATCTTTGCTTTGCTATCAGATTTAAAACAATATTTGCCTTTAGAGAAATAAGGAATGTAAAGGACTTGAAATTAACCCTCAGTAGCAGCAATGATTAAGTTTTCAGAGATGAATTTAGCCCCGACTAAAGGAGTTTCAGCAGAATAGAATGAAAAATACCAGGGCGAATTTTCCAAAAAGGTTATCAATTAAATAAATGAATTCCATTGAATGGATAACAATTGTATCTGATTTCCTTCATAATTGCATTTGCCCCAATGGAGATCATTATTTGACTTCTGTTTGTCAAAAACATGGACAACTCTCACTTCAGGATTGATGGAGAGTGTTATAACCATGTTGCTATTTCCTAGAGTCAAGAGTAAACTAGTTTTATCACTATCTGAATATTTAAATTGCTATGATATCAATTGAGTAACTGGATATTCGAACTTGTTCAATATAGTATTGGTTACAATTTTACTTCTGAATAGGTTTTAACCCACTCTAATCAATTTGACGTTGCCATCTAGATCAGAGGATGCCAAAATTAACTCATTTGCTTACACATCAACTATATTCAAACCTATTATTGTGGTTTGATGTTCCTGTATTTTATGAGCTAATTTTAATTGGCTTCCTTCATATATGTGAATTTAGCCACTCTCGAATCCAACAGCTATAATTTATCCTTTGACTGATATATATGACACATCCTAAATTTGTATCGTTTTGTTATTCTTATTATTCGAGAATAATGCAAGCTATCTTTCCCAATAATTGATCAAATAATTTGTTGAGATGGCAAAGGTTTTAGATTGATGTCCCAAAGACATTATTTAAATTGGAGAAATGAATTCCTCTTAATCACATATGAATGATTCACTATTCTGAATATTACACTCCAGAGTCTGAGAATCACTATTTATATGATTGAGTTGCTCTCTAACTTCATCGTCTTCTTAAAGGATATCCTCCAAATCAACTTAACTAGTATCCTCAAAAAATGTAATCTCTCCATTGTCTCCTTCTAGTATTTAACTTAAGTTAATCATTTCTATTTTATAATACAATTATAAAAATTAAAATTTCATAATTTAGATTCACATCTTAAACTTTGATTCAAATCACAACAGGCAATATTTCAATCATTCAAAATAAAATTGCAGCTCTGAAAACTAATGAATTCATTGGAGAATAGGGAATCAAAAAACATTGAATAAATTTCATTGATAATTTATTACATTCTTTTCATAACAACTTGTTTGAAATCTAATAGAAACATAATTTACTATAAAATGCTCGATCATATTACTCATTATTTTAATATAGTATTGTATTATAGTAGTTTTATATAAAAACTAGAACTAGTAAATGATATTGAAATAACACTAAATATAAAATTAGAAGTAGGTTTAAAAACAGTAATAATATTAGTTTTGTTTTCAATATAGATTGTTGTAATTTGAATAATGTTATTATCAAAATATTTAGAACAAAAAGTCTATATTATTACTGCAACACTCTTAGTATAAGATCAGTATCATATTATTATTACTAATTAAAGTAATAACAATATTAGCAAAAGAGTATATGGATATTATTAGTATATTCTAAAATATCAAATTTCTTAAGTGTTTTTAAGTTGCATAGATTTGAAACTAGTTAAGGATGTTTCAGATAAAAAATTCCTAATACTTATGAAGTCTATATGTAGAATAAGTATAATGAAATTTTATATATTTAATTATCAACTGAAATTCAAAATTAAAATATGCATCATCGAGAAGATAATGATCCATATAGCACGGCTATTGTTGAAGACTTGCTTTAGGTAGAATGCATTAAAGTTAACAATAGTCTTAATCTGAATGGAAAAATATCAATGATATTATCAGATTGACATTCAAGGCTTTAACGGATGTTGTAAAATCTTAAGGAGAAAGTATACGAGAAATCGAGAAGCAACTTTCTACGCGTGCTTCTAAAAATGAACTTCATTCAGGGTTAGCACTTAAGGCCAACATCAATGACATATCAAGAACGATAGCAGAGATAGCTGCCAATCTTGATACCAAAATTACTTACGAGGATTCTCAAGTTTTATTGAAAGATTATGTGTTAAAGGCAGATATGTAATATTTGTTGAGCAAGTATATTGTTTGAATGATGATTTTATTAGTAAAATTGATGTTGACGAGATGAAGTAATTGTTAGAAAAATAATAATCAGGAGAATTCAAAGGAGATATGCAAAATATGAAACACAAAATTGAAGAGCTACAAACATAGATTTCTAAGAAATTCTAACAAGTACCAAGCATGAAAGACTTCTCTTAATTATCGTAATAAGTAGAACTTAAAGCCAATCTTTAAGAAATGAATGAATTACTTGAAACAAAGGCTAGTAAGCACTAAGTACAATAAGCAGTAAATAAAAAAATTAGTAAATAAGAATTAGATCAAATTTTATAAAATTACTCTTCTCTTGAAGATTTATAACCAATCATTTAAAATCTTGATTAAAAAGCTTCATTAGATTAGATAGACAAGATTGCTTCAATTTTAGAAGTGAAAGTTGATAGATAAGATTTCTCAATTCTGATAAATTCATTACAAAACAAGGCTGAAATACATCAATTAGAAGTGATTAAAGAACAATAATAAGAATTAAAAAATATAGTGGAATCAAGATTACAAGATAACAATTCATTGATGACTGAAATGAAATAATAAGTTGATGGAGTAACAAAACAATTAAACAAGAAGGCTGATAATAAAGAATTAGATAAACATGTGCATTCTATAAATTCTCTTTAGGGAGAATTGGATGGCTATTCTTAAAGATTTAATAAGTTTTCTTAAGAGATTATTTCAGATCTTGATCGATTGAGGAATGAGATCTTAGAGTCTAAACAATTTACAAGTGAGTAGATGTAAACAACTATAATGAAATCTACTCATTTATCAGAGAAATTGACAGAGGAATTGTATAACTTGTCTGAGAATATTAAATAAATGGATGATGACAAGAGAGAAGAATTAGATGATCTCAAAAAAATGGTTAATACTATGAGAATACAAAAAAAGGATATTTAATAGAAAGTAGATTAAATGTAGGAGCATCTAGACGAATTTAAATCTGATCAAGTGTTTAAGCAATTGTAAAGATAAGTTCAATAGATGAATAAAGTATTTTATTATAATAAATAAAGGAAATAAGCGAAGTCAAAGCTAAATAATTATCATATGAAGATGAGCAACATATCTAGGTCTAAATCGAATAATAATTATAGAGGAGAGTTAATGAGATCAAAAAGACAGGTTCTAGTTAGGATGGCTTTAAAAATATCAAATAAGAAGTCTCGTAAATTGTCACTAAAAAGATATCTTCTTTTGAATAACAATTAAATCAATTGGAAATTAATTTAAAACAAAGAGTTCTTTACTAAGACTTTGAGGAATTAAAAAACATAATCTAAAAACTATGTATTGATTAGGATGAAAGAGCCTATTAGAAGGATTTAACCAAACATATTTAATTGACCAAATATACATTGGATTTAATATAAAAGGACATGATGCTCAAAGCTGGAATATAAGACATGATTACCATTCTAGACACTAAAGCAAGTATTATATTAGTAACACTTAGATATTCCTGAAATCAATCAAGCCTTTGAAGCTATCCACAATGATTTATAAACTAAAGTATCAGCAGACGATTTATCTAATTATCTCAAAAGTTAAAATTAAATCTATGAATCTCTTTGCTAAGAAAATATTGTGGCAAGATTTTAGTGGAGATCAGGAGATACACAAAATCATTTAATACCTTGGGAATACGAAGTCATTAACACTTTGCCTGAGAATTTCGTTTGGGAAAAAGGAAAAAGCTCCATTTTGATTGTTGCCCCTGGGGTCTATCACATTGCCTATGCATTTTTCTCAAAAGAAAAACAAAATGTCTCAGTCCTTATCAATGGAGAGAACATTGCCACCCTAGATCAAAAGAAGAAAACTTCTGAATATACTGGTATCTTGTTGTTATTCATCCTTAGGCTTGAATGCTTAAGACTTTATAGTTTTACCAAATAGAGCTAGACTCTAAGTTAGTTATAGTGGAGGAAAAGGAGAAGGGTTCCTTAGTTTAAAGAGACTATGAAAGCCAATTCATATATTTAATACATATATCTTTATTATAAATAATTAATTAAGAATGAGATCCTCATTTTTCTTTAGACAAGATATGTTGGTTTTCAACAAAAACTTAGAAATGTCAGATAAATCTAATTTATTTTGATTTAATTAAATAAGGAATGTAAATTAGACTTTAAGGATGAGAATATGGGAATGCAAATAGGAATGATAAAATAAGATGTTTATTGATATTTGTAAATGATAATACTCTCAAATTAATATTAGGAGCATTGTTATTAGAAGAATGCTTAAAATGTTTTAGAAGCACCTTGTACATTCATTTCCATCCAAGTGATATACATGACCTGTATTTACAAAGCATTAGATGGTGTTAGTCTAATTATATTAAGTTGAATCTAAATTTGATAGGGGAGCACTTCTACACTCATTATAGGCAGGATCCCAAGCACAGAGAGCAATATCTCCAGGTTAATAGGAAGTGTACACGTATGTGCAATCTGCTTGACTAGTATATGAATTGCATGATTGTGTGATGCAAGAATTCAAAACAACACTCCATTGGCATCTGCTGGTTTATAAATTGCATGCTGAAACATCAGAAATCTGTTTGCAATTATTAATATTTTAACAAGCACTGCCATTCCAAGTGCAATAACCAGTGAAGACTTATGCATTGTAGGCTTCACATAGTGCTTAAGTAGTTTGTTTACTGCATTCTTATCGAACACCGCAACTACCAGGATTTCCTTAGGTGGCACTGGCAGTAAATTGTGGACAATTGGCTGAAGCAGTTAAGCAATCGAAAGAAGATGTGGCACTAGTAATGTTAACACATCCAACATTTGTACCAGTAGGTGTTTTTGTATAGGTTTGGCAAGATCCAATGTAGATGCAAGAAGGATTGGCAGCACATGAAAACTTAGATGTAATTGAAGTACAGTTTTGGGCAGCACACTTTGTGGAAGTTGAATTGTATGCACATTAAGGGGAAGCCACTTGACATTCATATTGTGATAATTCAGAGCATGAGCAAACAGACTTGTAAGTTTAAGTTAAACTGTATTAACTGCATGATGCACAGAATCCGTTAGGTGATTCAGCCTAGGTGGAAGTCCATCTTGACATCATAAATGAGTTGGAGTAACAGGTTTTTGATGTGGCAGCTGAGAGATTTGTAGCTTCTATGCATGAGCCAGTTGGTTACCATGAACATTGAACAACCTTTGAGGATGATGATGTTGTTAAGGAAGTCAAATAATATGTGCATGTTTGTTGATTGGTGAAATAGGTACAACTTGCAGGTACGCAAGTGGCAGCTGTTGCTGCTCCAGTTGGTAATTACCAATAGCAAGAACGGTTGAATTATTGGCATTTCTATTGAGAGTTAATTCCTGAACACTAGGTGATCTTATTACATTATTTGGTTTCGGCGTCAAATTAACAGATACCTTGAGTAACATAGGTGTTTTCACATTTGGATGGAGTTGTTGCTCCAGCAGTGCCTGATGGATTTGAAACTGTGCATTGAGCTTGAGTGCCTGCGCAAAGATACTTATTTTGAAGAGGTAAATATGTTGTTGATATGGCTGCACAGAAAACAGAATAACTAGCACATTCTCCAGCATTGACACCAGCAAGTTCTGAACATGATGAAAATGGTTAACATAAATTTTAAGCAGCTGACCATGAGCATCTTGGATTGGTACTGCAGATTGCTTATTACATAATTTGACTGCAAGGTTTATTATAACAACTTGGAGATGTTGCAGTGGTGGACCAAGAACATTAAGAATTTGCTAAGCAATCATTCTAGTAAATCAATTAGTTGCAAGCACATTATCCAGGTACATTAACGGAGTTTATCATACATTTAGTACAATAACCATCTCCATTATTGGCACTTGTTGGAACCCATCTATAAGTGAATCCTGTGTTGGCAGCACAATTGCCTGAATTTAAGTCTGAAGATGTGAAGAAATTAACACAAGTTCCAGTAGCTGCTGACCATTGACATTATTAAATTTATCCAGGGTAAAGTTATGATACATAAAATGTGCATGTTGCTGGAGTTGTGAAGTAACCGCAGGTAAGGGATTGACATTAATTATTTACAAATTAACAGCCTTCAGTGTAATAACCACAAATTTGTTGGTAAGGAATTTAACTGCAATTTGTAATTGGAATACATACAGAAGGAGCAACAGTTGAATTCCATAAGCAGGCACCGTCGGATCCATAATTACCACTGCAAGCACTTGGTGTTAATAATGTACTGCATGTATAATTTGGAGTTGAAGTGCAAGTTCCTCCATTGTAGCCTTTGCATTGAATTGAATAACTAAGACATTGTTAAGCAGTCAATCCTGTTCCAGCGACTTAACTGCATGAAGTGAAGGTTTAACAAGTACCAGCATTCCAAATACAGGCTATGTTTTAAGCACATGCTGATTGACTTACAATATTGGCACAAACTTATTGGGCACATATGTTATTTGTTGACCAATAACAAGATTACCCACTAGCATTGTTACAATCACTTTGTGTCATGTATTAAAAGCATTAACATGTTTGAGGATTGTAATTTGGAATGACATTTCCAGAGCATAATGCACAAATTCCTCCATAATTTGTAGATTATGGAATCCATCTTGCTGTTTTATTAGTATTGGCATAGCATTATTCTTAAGTTAAACTAAAGGCATCTGGTACTTATGTACATTGATCACCTACCATTTAACAAAATGAAACATAGCTGTTGGATGATAATTTCATAACAAAAGTGCATTAACCATATTAGGAATAGAGTGTGCTACATGTTAAACTTTGACAAGTAATACCATTCCAATAACATGACTTAGATTGTAAATTGCATTCAGCTTCTGGTAATTGATTGCATGAATTGACAGCCACACAGGTCTTGGATATGGTGTTCCAGTAACATGCTCCATTGCTTCCGATGCTTGCAACACAGGATGTATCGGTTGTATTGGCCTCACATTTAGCATAGGTGGTGGTGCAATTAGTTCCATTGCTACCAACACAATATATATTTTGTGCCATGCATGCAGCTTAACTCTATCCGAACAAGTTGGTACATGTACCATTAAATACAGTGCATGAATTGTTATTCCATTAACAACCTTTTTGGGATGCACATACAGATTGTTAAAGTATCGATGTACATTCCATTTGTATGCATGCTCCATTGTTCCAGTAACATTCAAGAGCTTGGGAACAATCATATTAGGTTAAGAATGAGCAGGCGCATTATTTAGGTAATGTGACTTATTATTAACATCTAACACAATATCCTTTACCAGTTTAAGCTGAAGTTGTTACCCAAGTGTAAGTATTATGAGTACTGGTTGCACAATTATTTTAAGTCAATGCTGTTAAAATATCAGAAGCTGGTCCACATGTACCATTAGTTGTATTCCAGAAACATGGAACAATTTAAGATGAGAGTGGATTGGGTAGATAGAATTTGCAATTTAATTCTGATTTGAATGATGAACAGGTAACTTAAGAGCATGTTTCTGTTAGACTGTTCCATGAACAAGACAGTTGATTTCTTAGACATAAGGTTTCATTGTTTGCAGCTTGAGTGCATTATGAGAATCCAACACATGTGGTAGTTTTGTCTGCTTTGACCAAGTAACAAATTCCATCAGTACCACTGTTATTAACGCAAGTGTTGGTAGCTGCATATTGAGCAGCGCAAGTTGTTGAGGCGAATGATTGACAGACACCATTGCTGATTCCTTTGCATGAAGCATTCATACTAACACATTCTAATTGATTAGCAGCTGCTGGTAATGAAGAACAATTTGTGAATGCTAAACAGCCATTTGCACTCCAATAACAAGTACTTAATCCAGCACAAGTAATCTAGTTTTCATATTATGTGCAGGGTGATGGTGAACAAATATTAGTTTGGGCATTGAATGTACAGAACCCTGAATTTTAGCAATTTGATTTAGAGTGGAATTAAGAACATTAACAAGAAGATGGTGTTTACAATTACAATTAATTTGTACCACATGACACACACATTCCTGCAGATGCATTGTTGGTACTCCATCTGAAGTTATTTCCTGTATTGCTAACACAAGTTGTTGAAGTTTACTATAATGCAGAATATGCATTTTCACAGACTCCTAGAATTCCTTGGGATTTGTTCCATCTACATAATTAGTATGTATTTGATCCAAATTCAGTTTACACATATGTACAAGTCTATGATGTGGTGAATGATGCACAAGTCAATTATTGACATGTTAAACTTGTTGCATCCCACATACATTAATTCTATTAGTTTCCACAAAGAGCAGAATCAGTTATCTAACTACAATTTAACAATTGGGAACATGTTTAATTAACGACATTCCAAACACATAGACCTTAACTATTGATAAATTAGTAACAGCTTGATGCTGTAATTTATGAATTGCAAGTAGAAGCTACTGTTGATGTTTGTACACATTAACCTCCTTAATAACCAGCACAGTACAAACTTTGTGCTGCACATCCAACTGCGCTAACCTTGAATGTCAGATCATTGCAACTAGTCAAAGCTTGGCATTGATTGGCACCGATACTCCAATAACAACCGGACACAGTAAGACAAATATTTTGAGTTTTAATTTGGGCACAGGTATTTGGTGAACAAGTATTGGTCAATGTATTCCATTGGCATAAAGTACTCTATGAATTGCAATCATTTTGTAACACATATTGAGAACAAGAACATTATGTACTTACAACCTTCTTTAATGAAAATTGTTTGCAAGGACCACAAAACCCATTACCTGGATTGTTCGATAATCCATACCATCTGAAGAAGAAACTTGTATTCACCAAACAAGTGGTTTAATCCAAATTATTAAGATTGGTAATAGGAACACATGAAGGTGGATTAGTGGTTGTTTACCAATAGCAGACATTCAAAGTTTTTGATTAAAAACTTGAAAAATAGTTTGTGCAAGAGGCTTGAGTTGATAATTGACCACAACTTGTAATAGCCTAGCAGCCTCTGAGAGTAGACCATACACAAAAATTTCCAAAAGCATTAAGTTATAAACATTTTTGTTGTTATTAAGCTTATGTACAATTATTATATGGTGAACATACAAGGCCAGTGAAATAACAAACTCCATCTGTACCAAAATTGAAATTGCATTGTGTTTATGGGTAATTGGCGCATGGTGAAGTGATCTCATTATAATTCAAGCATAAGTTAGTTGTATAATTAAATCCAACGCATCTAGGATTCTATTAGACACATTATTGATTGTTTGTAGCTATTAAGTTTGCGCAGCCTAAAAATGTAGAACATGTTGTAGTAGTTGGATTCCATTGGCAATACTAAGCGGCGTCCTGGCACTCAGTTTATGTAAGTGCTTAGCAACTTTGTGTGCATTAGTTGCTATTCGCTTACCATTGACACCCTGGCAATGTGTCACAATCATTTTGATTTGTTAATTGTGGACAGCCACAGAGGGTTTGCGATGTTACTACAATTTATGATGCACCTAAGCCTATGAGAATAGCCAATAAGATGTATGATTTCATTAATTTTAATATTGATAAATCCAATTTCATATCATCGATTTGAACTCTAATTTTTCTACACTTTTCTTTACCTCCATAATCCATAATAATTATATATACTCAAGATTCTCCTTATTCTGCATATTCTTCTACTACGCCTCTACTAACATTAACTCTTCTACCATATCTATTAATCCCCAATATTTCCAAGAGACATCTAGAATTTACATATTTCGTCATCCAAGCACTTGTTTTTCTGTGACCACAATTTTTATAGAATAATATTTTATATTCTCACCCAATATATATAAATTAATCATTTAGAATTCGTAGGGAGCAACACACCCTTGGTTGATCCCTACTATCCCAATGTTGTTATAGTATCTAAATATTTAATTTGCATTGCTGCCATAGAATCCAACAACTCTACTGCTTGCCTCATCAATTTGGCTGATTGCACATCATCCTTATGCTGAAATCACCTTGGCTTAAGCAGCTCTCTACTCTTTTGCTACCATTGACAAAATGTTCTACAAATCGGCATTCAATTGAATATCCTTGATCGACATATTCTCTATGTCTATTCCCCATTCCCATACATACTAATCCGCTAACCTTCTATTAATTGTTGCACCTTTGCTTTCTTCTCCAAGAGATCCTACAATGTATGAGACCCTGCAATGCTCTTTATATTGTTGCCATTGTCAACTGAGTTACTGCCTAATGCAAGCCATTTATGTAAAGATTGATCTTCGAGGTATCACCATTCTATAGTAAACTGTGGAATCAATGTTAACCAAAATATTATCCTTTGTCATAACTTATTATCTTGGACAATCGATCATCTACACTTTTCAATCTACCTTCTATATTGTGTCTGTGCAAGGGTTTATGTATATCAATCCAGGTTGAACTACCTTATTTCACTCTCCATACCTATCTTTATATACTTTCCAAAACTCAAGTACACTCCAACTAAACTCTATTCAACTTGGATTTAAGGATATTCAACAAATGGATTACAGGGACATACTGCCTTACAATTACCACAACATTCTCCACAATTATAAAGATAATTCTAATATCAACCACCCAAATCTAAATTCTGCTCTTAATTCTCAAGTAGCTCTTCTCTAAGATACCTCGGAGCTTTATAAAATTAGAATTCAATCAACCATCATAATACCTGGGGGAGGAACATTGTAATCCCGATGTTGTTATACTGGATTTTGTTACTAAGGATTTATTGATAAATAACTTAGTTTTGTTAAAACATAGTTTTAATATTGAGATTATGTGTATTATAAATAAAATACTAAAGCTTAGATTCACTATTGATTCACAATATTCCTAAATTATATCTCATTAAACTTTATTTGCTTATGTTTCTTATTATCAGATTTCAAAATATCTTTCCAACCATATAATCAATATGATTATTGAATAGTATGAAATAGATAAGTACTTCAAAGGGATAAAACTCTATATATTGATAGAATAATTTTACCTTTTTCATTCTTTAAGCAAATTTTCAATTATGGATATCCCTATTTAGCTTATAAGAGATCTACCAATTAGTTGAAAAAAATGATTGTTTTAGAAGAAATACAATGAAGTGCAACAATAACAAATAAACAACTCATTATGTATATAACTAATTTAGTCTCAGATTTATATTTAACTTTCAAATCCTTGATCTAATCAACCTTAGTTTGATAAACTGAATCATGAAGAGCTTTTAATGTCTCAAATGAAAAGATTAGATTAGAATAATCTTGATAGGGAATGAGGATATCAAAATAGTTCTTGAACCTCCCTTGTAAATTGATATTTTTAAGATATCAATATCGACAGGGACCTATGTTTCTAATCTATTTCTAAATAGAAGAGCTTAGTTGGCTGTGCTAAACACATTGAAATAAAAAGATTTGTAGAAAATTTGATATAAAATATTTGCCAGAAGAAATGAAGATTATATCAGAATTACAATATGAGAATGAACTTCGAAAATAAAGAACGGGATCTCCTTAATATGACTTTCAGGAGTTGTTCTCGCTTAGTTAATTAGCGTAAGACCTTTAAATTAGTTCCTGGTGATATGAAAGCCACTTTAGAAGTATGTATATTATCCCTACTTAGCAATACTGCAATTGTGAATGAAATGATATATAGAGAATAAAATGGAATCTGGATAGTTTTTAGTTCCTTAAAAACAAAAAATGATAGTTTGATAAAGCAATACTTAATGCTGAGGAGAATGTTATTAACATGAATTCTAAATTGAAAATGCTTGTAAGAAGCATTACAAATACGAAGCTTTAATTTGAGATTTTTATTTGTTGTTATGATTGTAATCAAATAATAGTCGAATAAGAATAAAATTTTTTTCTTAAAGATTCATAGATGTTATTTTTCATGAGAAACAGATACTAATTAAAAGAAAGAATAACATTTTATGTTTCAATTTCTTAATAAAAAATGAGACATTGATTTACATTTATTTTATCTGAGTTAATTTTTGCACTTTTTTTCATAATACTACACATATAGATGATTAAATTCATTAAAATTATATTACTTTTAAAATATCTATTGTCTGATATCTATCATTGATTTGTAAATCTTCATGAACACAATTCTCTATCATAACTTATAGAAATAATGTCAATCTTTATATATATAGTAATTAATTATCATAATTTTAGATTCTTAATATACTTTTCACCAAAAGAACAATTTATCTTCTTAAGGAATGTTGATAATTACTAAATATTTATTAATAATAAAATTAATAGCTATATATACTTGATTATATAACATATTATAGATATTATAAGAAAACTTTTAGTATATTTTAATGAATAAATACCATGAAAACTTAATTAATATCAAATAAGATCAATTTTATTATCAAATTTAGTTTATATAGGATAATTTAAATTTTCATAACAGACAATACGGCAAAATTTTAGGTTAAATATCAAATTTTAAGAATTAAGACATATTTTTATGATTATTTACTGAAAATGTCCTTAATGTGCTTATTAGCAGAATCTTCGATATTGAAGTATAAATAAAATAAAATGACATATAAATTTAAATGAAGAAATATTTAAATTTATTATAAAATTGATATTCTAGAAATTTGGCTTGTAAAGTCTTTGGTTCTTCATATATGGATTAATTTAACTTGTTTTGTTTTTAGTAATATGTAGTAAGAATTAACTTTACCAACTGAACAATTAATTAATATTGAATAAAATAATACTAAGACCGTATTAATGTGAATAAATTCAAAAAGATATTATCGAATCCCAATTATATATAATCGTAAAGCAGTAAAAAGCTAAATTTCATATTAATTTTAATGTAAGATTGTGCAGCAGACCAAAATTTCCTCAGTTTCTTACAGCTGGAAAAGGATTTAAGTCAAGTGGATGAATATTCATCTTAATTTATTTTCTCAAATTAAGACAATCCTTCATTAACTTAACTAGCAAATTTAAATCATGTTCCCTAAAGTCATCAAGCCAAAAAGATCAAAAAGAAGAAAAGAGTGGATTTTCATTATAAAAGAAGAAGAAGAAACAATAAAAATTCTGAATTGAACAATTAAGCACCATTCAATTTTGATGAAGATCAAAGAATTTTATCCCTTGTACTTGAACACGGCCCTAGGTTCTCTGTTGTTTCGAGATACTTTGTTGATAGAACTTAGAATGCTATAAAAAACAGGTATTACAAATACCTTCGATTCAGATGGGATTAAATATTAGGAAGGTAAATGAATATTTTGTATTCTTTCTAGAGATTACATAAATCTGAACTGTAGAAGAGAGGATGATCAATAGACTAGTGAAGACTTGGAATAACTAATTGAAAAGATGAACTTTTTTCCTGAAGTTACAACCATATTGTCATCATTTGTTCAAAGAGTCTATTCACATTTTAATTGATAATATTGTCTCATATGTTTAATATTATTCAAACCATAACCTATACATAGTCATTTTACTTCACACTTCAAAGTTTTAAAAGCCTTTTGTATCCTCTAACAATTGATTTGTCAAGCGAATAAACGTATTAGAAAAATTAATTTCAAGTAGCATAACGATTAGCTCAATACTATTTATAATTTACAATCTTATCTGATTCTTAGACACCTCAGTTATAGTATAATTTTGGTTTAAAAAGCACAAAGCCATGTTATTCTGCCAACAGTGAAAAAGACTCATATTTATTTTATAAATAGAAAATGATAATAGAAAAACTGGAAATCCAATTCATTCAAAAAATTGGTTCCATTTTAAACAGAATCCTTAATATAAGGTTCGAATAATATGTTTCATATTAAGCTGAAAAATTATTTGTAAATTCATTAAATTTTCTCAGTTGTTTGATTTTTGTTCTAAAATTAGAAGGGGAATTGATATTAATTGGAAAAAGAATGTTGAGTTAGTATTGATGATTTTTTGAAGATAATATGAAGTGGTATTAAGTTTAGAAATTAAAGTATCCTTTATATTTAATTTTAATAAGGAATTTTGATTAATATTTAATAATATATTAGTAATTAATACGAGAATGGGCTGAATTAATTAATTTTTATTATTAATTTATCAATATAAACTCTTATCAACTTCTTTTGGAAATGGTTTAATATCAGTGTCTAGCTCTTACTCTATTTATACCAAAGTATCTTTATCAGTTTCAGTTATAAAGTTAACAGCCAAACCTAAATGACCAAATCTAAATTGAAATTAATAATTTACCTTCCTGATCTGCCTATACGATGTAAATATGTTTCAGCAGTTCTGGGGAAATCGAAATTTATGACAACATTGACAGATTAAATATCAATTCCTCTAGTAAAGAGATCTGTAGAGACGAGACATCTACCTACAGCTTTTCTAAAACTATGGAATACTTTATTTCTATCCTTCTAATTCATTTTTGCATGAATATAGCTAATAGAATGAAAGAATATGCATACAAACACGAATACCCAAATTCAGTGATTTTTTGAGTCAACAATTCTACTCTTCTTGCTGAGTTGCAAAATATGATTGCTTAATTAATTTCAAGTTTGCTGAAAATGAAATTCAAACAATTGACTTTCTATTTCTCATCAATAAATAGATAGTATTAAGTGACACCCTTCAATGTTAATTCCTCCATCAAATTAATTTCTTGGATCTGAGGAACATGTTCATTAATGAAACCTTTAACATCAACAGGGAATGTTGCAGAAAACATCATGATTTGTACTTCTGGAGGAGCAAATTGAAGTATTTTAACAATAAGTGGTTGGAAATCAACTGACAGGAGTTTGTCAGCCTCATCCAAAACAAAATGCTTCAATTTAGACAAATCAGCTAGTTTCCTTTGGGCTAAATCCAGAATTCTACCAGGTGTCCCAACCAATACATGAACCACCTACAATGATTTAACTCTCTACTTGTTTCAATCTATAGATATCCTCCTTAAAATCAGTGCCTCCTGTTGACACCATACATTCCACTTTCATGTACTTACCAATCTCCTTTACTAGACTTGACACTTGGAGAGCCAATTCTCTAGTAGGCACCAAAATCAGACTCTAGATCTGACCTTCCACCTCCAACATTTCTAGAATTGGAATTATGTAGGCTCCTGTTTTGCCCGTGCCATTTTTAGCTCTTGCTATAATATTTGATCCTGCTAAAGCAAATGGAATAGACTCTTCTTAAATAGGAGAGGGCTTCTCATAATTTGATGCTGCTAGACCTTGCATTAATTCTTATTTCAAATCGAACTCTTCAAACTCTACTCCTTTTGTCTTGGTGACATCCTTACAAGTTAGGCAAAGACCTTACACTCGTCTTATATCGTGTGTCCTTCGGTTTCGGTTGTTCATCTATAGTTTGCGTTGTTTGTGGCTATTATGAGTCACTTTGTTGCATATTAATTATTTAAATTATATATAATAGTATCATACCAATAATTTTCCAAAACATCTGCTCAATTAAGTTATTTGTAATACCAACCTACTGCATAGTTTAATTTCCTTATTGCAATCTGGAAATACATTAAATCTTTTTTATAATCTTTCCAAGTAGAACTAATTGTTTTTGCATTATAGATTAATATGATGTTCGCTTATTTTGTATAATAGACTTTTGATTTAAATCAACATTATCTTTATTGTATAATTTGAAATTTGTAATTAAACCAAATTAGATTACTAAATTTAAACTTGTTATTAACCAAGAATTTCAGACATTTCTCTTTTTCTTATTTTGAGATTTTAAAATTAATAATTAAAACAAAATACATTAGGAGAGTTCTTTATATATCAATTATTATGTCTCTTCAATCCTGGCACTTTTTATAATTATTTGACAATTAATTAATAAAACTCTTAATGAATATTTATTTATTTTTTAGTGTTTTTCCTTTCAATATTCTCCTGCTGTTTTCTAACGCTTAACAATAAAAGGATTATTTATTTCCAGGAGAAACAAAATTTGCAACTAATAACAGGTATTATGTTCCATTTGAACAAAAATTTTTAGAGTCAAATTAAAGCAGGTTTGAAATCGAATTAATTCGTGAAGTTTAAATAGAAAATCAACACTCCATAAATCTTACAGAATAAATGAAATTGTTTTATTTTTAGTAACTAAATGAGGAAGAGGATAATATGATTATGACAATGGATAATTAACATTTATATTGTTTATATGTAATTAAGAACTATTTGTTGAATCAATAATTGGTTATTCATCCTCACTTCTGTAATATAACATTGCCCTACTAATCATGCAGCTAACTAATTCAGGTAAAAAAATAATTATTTATAACTATTTGCAAGCTTAATGATTCATCAATAATATCAATTTTCAATTTGGAGGGAAAAGTATTTGATCAATTATAATTACAATTTGAGTAAAACTGCAATATAGATCTCGCTTATGGACATTAAATTATTTTTATATTTGAATAAAATTGTTAATCAACTAATGTTTATTAAGTTGAGATTGACGAGGAATAATTTTAGTATAAATCAGTCAAAAAGCTTGATTTATTTGAAGGAATCAATATTACAACACTTAAAATTGAATATATCTTGAAAATTGAGTTATGTGATCTAGAAAGAATATTTTTTATATTCTAAGATTTCGTACTGCAATATAATTTCAGGAGGAACAATTTATTTTAATTTTTAAAATTTGTTAATATAACAATGTTGAAGGTATTTTAATTGTGTTCAACTTCATGTTTAGTATTGGATATAGAAAATAGCAGTTAGTAAATGAGATTGAAGGAGGATCTTTTGAATATTAGTGCTAGTTCGTATAAGAATGCATTATTAAATGAAAAGATTTTAGTCTTATTTTTTGAACATTATATATTAGCAAAAATAAATGATTAATTACAGTACCATATAAATATAACTTTGCCAGAAATGCTTCCTTTAATTGGTTTATCGTATTTTATTGGCGTTCATTAATCTAAATTAAAACTCTTTTAAATTCAATCACCAAGAAATTATAATTAATTTTACTTATCCTAAAAAATTCTATACTTAATCCTTGCAAGCAATCCTTATTATAATTCATTTTATTTAGAATAAGGTGAAATAGAAATTGTGAAGGAAAATGAATCTAAATTAATATCGAAATAATATGAATAGATGGTTTATTTGAATGATGACATGTTAGACATCTGCTTGGAATAAAAATTATTATCAGAAACTCTGCCAATCAATTTAGTCGCAATTTAGGACAATGAAACATATTATTAAATAAACGAGAGAATATCTATAGACACCTGCAATTTTAGTTTTCCTAAATATATAAAAATCATGCACTTTGGTCAATTGAATGATTAAATAAAGATGCTGGTAATATTTAAACAGGAAGATATTTTAACCTTTGTATTTTGTTATAATGGTTAAATTATTAGTGAATAAAATATGAAATTAATCAAACAAGTCTTAAATATTCTTGTCATTAATTAAAGAAATATATTGATTTGTTACGAGAAACTTATTTCATTAGTTATAATTGATGATTCACTTTCAATAAAAACAACAAGTTACCCTTAAGAACATAGAATAATTAACATAAATAGATAGTATGTCTACATAAGCATTTTATATGAGGGTTGTAGATTCTCACTAGCACATATTGTGTCGGATAGATTGGTTGGGTTGGAATAATTTTAAAATTATCCCTTTCCTAAATCTTTGAATTGTACCTTTAATTATAAGACTTCGAAATCTTAATTTATAATTAGTTAGGATGAGATCATTATTTTATCAAATGTTAATATGAGGTATAAACTGAAAGGGAAAATTGTCAAAGTTTTGATAGAAATATTATCTGATAATTTTGTATTAGTTATTGAAGAAGAAAATGAAATTAGACTCGAATTCTATCGTGTATTGAGAACTGAAATAGTTTTATAGTATATTATACCAAAGTATGACTTCAAATTTCAGCCTACTGCTACTTAAAAATACGAGAATTAATATTTAATGTTAAGTGCTAAGCATTAAAGTAAATCGTATTTACTAATTTATAATTTGAGAAATCCAGCTATTAATGCTTTAATATATATTACAGAAATAGATGAATCCCTGTAATTTTTTTAATTCTATGAAAATGCTAAAAGGACTGTAGTTTATTTATATTAAGGAAAGTTATATCTCTATCTTTTAGATAAGTGTTGTATAAGATATACATTTTAATAAAGGAATGCTTTAATTATGCGGAAAAAAATTTAAATTTTAGTTAATTCTCTGGTTAATAATTAATCTGATACAATAAATATTTAAATATCAAAATTTAATAATGACTACATTCTTAGTGCTATGAATAATGCTTAATAACTCAGCTTTCTTAATAAACCTTTAAATTAGGATCTATTTATAGGAAATATCATAAGGGTTGATGTTTAACAAAAAGATGATTTTGTAATTACTTCACCTATGAATATTACATCAGAACACCTTCCTTGTGATTATTTTGAATCCAATGTTTGTTTTCTTTAAGGGGATTTGATCAATATTTAAACGCTTAAGGTTCTATAAAACAATTCTTTTGACATAGGAGAAATAATAATAAAAAGAATCAATTTCGATGAGGATTCACATACATATTAAATATTGTTTTATAATATTATGAGACCTGATTTGTATATCTAATAATTAGAGCAACCTAAGGACGACTTAAATTAATCTGTATTAATCAGGAAGACAAAGAGATATAGCATCCTCCCTAAAAGTGATGTAGAATAATTGGAAAAGGTTAAAATTATCCAACATATTTATTATTTTTAACTAATGGGAGCCAAATCCTTATTATACTACAAAGATATTTGTTAAATTTTAATGAATTCATCTCAATCATCATACATAATTATGTATTTTGCTGATTGCACCTATTTATCTAATAGTACATATATATGTATTTTTTTTGAGGATCTGAAAATCAATATTAAAATTTTTGCTGTTAACGATAAAAAAATTTATTAAGATTAGTTTTGCTATGCTGATATAATTTAAGCACATGAAATTAGTTTATCCAATATATTTAACTAAATAGAAATCTACTATTTTCAATTAAACATGAAAAAAATTGAGATTATTTCTGTTGCCAAAGATGGATTCACCTATGTGTTGCAATTTCTTATGTTTTAGTGTACTAATTTCAGTTTACTGCTTGAAATCTCCTTCAATACCGTCTAATATGATCACATGAGAATAAAGTCGTATCTATTTTTGAGATATGAAAAAAATGCAGAAATGTTAAAAATGCTTTATGCAGATGAGTACTTCGTAGTGGCATCATATTAACTAGATGGTAAGGAAATTGTCAGTGTTTACGATATAAGAGGAGATATGAAAAATAAGGATTATTTGGACAGTATTTAAAGATTATAATCATTTGATTATTAACGAATAGAGAAATTTAATGCTTCTCATTATGTCATATATAGCCATATGAAAAAAAGATTATATTTTTTGACTCTAAATTAATTAAAAGTGGAGTGTTTAGGCTAATGTACAGAAAACGCAAATTTAATACTCTCCAATGAAGTATCAACCCTTACTTTAGAAATTTCATTAGAAAACCAGTTAGGATAGAAATATTTAACAATTAAATCTGCAATGATTTTAAACAATTTCTTGCTTATCTTGATATTTCTTAAATTTGGTAAAAGAGCAAAATGAATTTTTTCACAAATCAAATGAAAATATTTAAATGCATTTATGTAAAGTGTTTATTTATTCAATTATATATGCAATTATATATCTAAAATAAATTACATAAAAATTAGAATTAATTAAGGATGGGAATCATATTTATTTTAATTCTTTAATTAAAGATCTCTTATATTTATTACATAAAAATTAAATAATTAAAATATTAAAATGCTTGATGGCATGTTCGAAGCAGTGGATGAGGAATACAATCCAACAACCACAGTCTATTAAACAAGAAGGGCATAAAATTGCGCCGATTAAATGGATTTGCCAGAATATCCAAGAGTAAAACATTTTGCAGGCCTTAAAAATTAAGGTGCCACATGTTACTTGAACAGTTTAATACAATCCTATTACATGAGTCCTGAATTTAGAAAAGTCATTCTGTCATTGCCATTATGTGGAGAAACAATTGAAGATTCTGCTAATTTCGCTAAAAATGAAAGCAGAAATAGATTCCTATTAGAGTTTTAGAAACTATTCATATAATTGTAAAGTTTGCAATCCAAGGCAACTTCAACGTTAGCGCTGACTTCTAGTTTTGGTTGGAATGATGGTCAACAAATGTAGCAACAGGATGTGTCAGATGCAAACAAGTAACAATTACATGAATATATATAAGAGTATTGTTTGAGACACTTGATCGATCCCTATATGGTACACCTTTTATTATTGCTCCATTTTACAAGGGAGTAGTGTTTCATCACATAACTTGTTTGAATTGCAACAATTCTCATGGCAACGAAGAAATCATGTATGATTTCAATATCTAAGTGGAAGGCAATAAAAATTTATCGGAAGGATTGTTTAGTTATATCAATCCTTTTTTGCTAGATGGAAACAACCAGTACTTATGTGAATTATGCGGTTTCAAAGTAATATGATGAAATATTAAGAGGTAGATGCATTGAAAGGAGACAAGATCAGAAAATTACCATCAATATTGACAATAACATTGAATAGATACACATTTGATTATGAGAGGATGCAGAGAGTGAAATTAAATGATCGATTCGAATTTCCTTTAGAGATAGAGATGGGAGTATATTTGGAAAATCCAGTGGATAACTTAGTCTATGAGTTACAAGGCGTAATAATTCATAGAGGGAATGCCCATGGAGGACATTATTTTGCTTACTTTAGAGATCTTTTGGATGAAGGAGATTGGCTATCTCACATTCCAGAGTATTGGTAAGAGAAGGAAGAGAGTTAATAGTAATAAAAGAAAAAAAATGATGAAGAAGTTGATTATGATGAAGTGAAATTGCCATTTGAGATAAGTAATCCCAAGGTTGCTCAAGGGTGGTTTGATTTCAATGATAACACTGTTATTCCTATTCCTGTTAATAAGATCTAATCACAGTATTAAGGATCTGAGAGTGCCTACATTTTAATTTATAGGGATAGGAACTTGGTGCCATCCAAATTATCAAATGAGGAGATACCAAAATATCTTAATGATTATGTGAATAAATTAAATGAAAAGATTGAGTAGGATAGATAGGCTTATGAGGAAGCTAAACAACACATTACTATAACAGTAGCAGATGCTTCAGTGGTTGATTTATAAAATCATAAATTGCTCAATGACAATTATGAAAAGGTGACATATAAGTTGAAATTATCTTCCACCATTTAATAATTATATGAATAAATTAAAAAGGATGAATATTGGCTTTTGGAATTTAAAGAAAACTATTAAAATAAACTGTTACATTTCCCAAGATATTTGAAGAATCCAGAAAGTACATTAGAAGAAGAGAAGGTGGAACATGAATCAACATGGATTTTAGTAAGGAGAGATTAGGACCTTCTTTAAGTTGGATTGAAAAAGATTCCCATCAAACTTAATTTACTCATTAACAAACAACCATAATCATTTCTATTATATCTTTCAACCACATTATTGGAATTAAAATAATTGGTATTCGCTTTGTCTGGAATACCAGAAAATGAATAAGAATTAAGAAATGTTCAAAATTAAAAAATAGTATCAGATTTGTCTGATGAAACATTATTGGAAGAATTGCAACTAACTCTTGAATCTCAAATTTTGGTTAAGAAAAAGGCACCAATTTAAGATGTTAACAAAAATGAAAAAGATTTATAAGGAGGAGAGGATATTATATCAATTCTGGTTGAATAGGAGGACAAAAATGGAGTTTCAAAATTCTGTATAGATTTATTTCTTATTTTTAGATGTGAATATCAATTAGACTATCTAGGATTTGATTGAATTTATTAAAGAGTAGTTTGGAATCACTGATGCGTATAGATTAAGAAATCTTAATGGATCAATCTTATTCTGTAAAACTGATCTCCCTATATAACTGAAGGAATTTTAATCTTTTAGAGAAGGGTAATGTTATATTGTTACTATATCGTAGTGGGGCAAGATTGCAAATAGAGAAGGGAGAGGTTCCAGAAACTGGAAAGATTTCAATTGTGATTCAGAATAAGGAGTAGAATATAGAAATACATGTCGATCCAAGATCAGATAAGATTGAATAACTTAAGTTGGAGTCATGTAAATCTTTTAATTTGGATCCTGCATAATATAGACTTTATAAAGTCGATTGGTTACAAGTTCCGTCTGAAGGTTTAACAGATGAAACTAAAACAGTTTCTTAATGTTATTTGAGAGATAGGGATTTACTCATACTATGTGATAAAACAGCATAAATTGATTGTGAATTGGTACGATTTCAGCTTTATTCAACCACTACTGGTTATCCAGATGATTGTGTCTTTTAAAAACATGAAACCATGAGAAAGGATGCCACTCTGAAAGATTTAAAATAAATGATAATCTCTACTTTTGGATTGAATGTAGATGTTGATCATTTGAGAGTCAGAGACATCAATAAAAATAGATTCTTTGGATAAGTGTTTAGAAAGCTAGAATTACCTATTCAGAAATGTCAGTTCTCCACGAATGATATTGTTTACTAAGTTTTGAATCAACCAGAATATCTTAAAGATGATGAAATGCTCTTACTAATCAAGGAGAGAGATCCTCTAAATAAAGTATATATAAAACAATAAGAATTCGTCTTTAAAGTATCTAAGACTCCAACTCTTAATGAATTGAAGGAATAGATCTAAAAGTTTGTTGGAATAGAAGAGGGAGCTGAATTACAATTAGCTAAATTTATAATCTAAGAGTTCTAATGGTTGCATATTGACTCTAATGCTCTATAGAAGCAGGCACAAGGAAAAAATAAAGGTAAAGGTAAATAGGGTAAATAAGAAAATCAAAATAATAAACAACCTTAAAAAGGTTAAAAATAACAACAATAGTAAGACCCTTGTGATAATTTGAAAAAAAGTCCATTTAATTTAGGAGAAGGAGGTATCTATATTTATTTTATTTTATTAGATTTTATTGGTTACAGGTTTGGCAATCATCCAAATGATGACTTTTAGACTAAAGAAGATAATGAGGTATATGCTTATAAATTAAATTGATTAGCTAAGAGAGAGAATGATTGCTGCTCGTAAAAATAAGCACAATGCCTTGGGACCATTTAGAAGATAACAAGAGTAAGGATTTATCGTAGATATTGAATGATATTTTATTAATTCATTTTATTCTAAATAGAAATTAAATTGGTAAAGAGTTTATATTCTAAATACATTTAATCTTATTTATCAGACAATCATAGATTTAAATTCATCTTTAGCAATAATAATTAAAATTCATATAATTTTTGAAAATATCCTTTTCCGATTTATACTGACCAATTACCATAACTTTTATTAATTCCTGATCTTTCTCTTTATTTATACCTTTTTTTCAAATGTTGACTCCTTATGAATATTAGATATATCTTTTTTGGCCCTTTAAATTTTGTCATAAATGAATAATTTCTTCAATATTTATTATTATAAATTAATATTTATCATAATTAGATGTCTTAAGTAGATAACTCCAATTCTAATTACATCAACTTAGATTAGAATCAAATAACGAAAATCAATTATCCTGATTTAAGCAACTATGTTCCACCTCAATCATATAATACTACAATACAAGTGAGTTAAAATTCATTAGATGAATTAAAAATGAAGAGAATGAAACTCTTATTTAATTGCTATAAATACTAAGCAATGTCATTTTTCATTGTTTTGGTTATTCAAATTATTGGATTAACGAAATGGTTCATGTCGATATAAACAAAATTCTCCAAAATCAAATTAGCTGGATATTATTATAGCTATGAAGAATATCTAAAATATCATTCAGATGCTTAAACATATAAGGAGTATGAGGACTGGAGATAGAAAGAATATTATGAAATTTCATAAGTGAGATGGACATTTTATGTGATTATTGCCTTACTGATTTTAAACACCTTAGCAATTCTGATTGGTAGAATTCATCGCAACATCGTATTCCATATTGTATAAACTTTAGGTTAAATATCAGCAATCACTCTTCTACTCCTAAGCAGTGCTCATTGGACTATGCCTTGTTGGTTATGCAGGTAAATACTGGGATAGCTATTGGATCCATAAGAATATCTGTGAAGTAACCATAACCATCAATTCAATATTGTTACTTAATAGTTTAGTGAACCTCTCACTTATTAAAATTGATAAGCTACACTACTATAACAAGCTTGCAAACAATGTAATATATCTACAGGTTCCATTTAACTTTATATTGATTTTGCTCTTCAAGAAATTCGATAGTGTGATACTAATTTTTGAATCAATAGCTGCCTATGGATTGTTTTACTTTAATGAACTCAATCGTTCCTTATTGTTGAATCCAGAAGAGCTACCCCCTCAGAAGGATATTACAACCATGTTCAATGAAGCAGTTCAAACCGATAATTAGTCATAAGAAATTATGAAAAACAACCCGGATTTTATATCTATTCCTAGAAGGAAATTAGTATTGGTAGCTGCAATTTTAAGTTTAATTGCATTAATAATCATTTAAATCATGAGTAGGGAGTCATACTTATGTCTTCCATTGATACTTTTAGCTGGTCTAATTTTGAATTTATTATTTGAGACAAGGGTTGCTTCAAGAGTAATACTATAATATATTATCATTAGTCCTTGCAACATGATGATAATTTCATTGCAGCTAGCATGGTTTACTTAGATTTGCTATGTCCAATCTAAAACTTGGTTAGATGCTTCGGAATAGTCCTATGATCAATTAAACATATAAATTTGCCTAATAATAATATATTTATATTCAATTTTATATTTTAATACAATGATACAAGCAGATTATAATCACCTGTCCTATGTTGAAATGGTCCAACAATAGGCTGTAATTGAAGAAGTAAAATATCCCACATTAGATCCAATCGTTTCTAGTAATGAACAAGGTGTAAAGAATGATGAATAGGTTGAGCATTCAGCACCTCTTAATGAATCATAGAACAGAGCCCGTTTCTTAACCAGATACTATTTTTACTCAATTCTACAATACATAGGAGTTTTATCCTTGTTTTTATTGACACAGGATTTCAGATTTGTTGAAGTTCTGTGTATTGTGGAATATAGTCCATTGGATTAAGATCGATATTTTTATTATTCCTCGGAGGAATACAGAAATGGAGAGGACTATAGGAAGCTATTCGGGAGATACGATTCTTTGTCAAAATACTCATTCAGGTGGACATTCTATGCTTCTCTAGCATTAACTATTATAATAACACTAATTATAGTTATTGGAAGATCTTCTCAAAGAATTGTATGAAATCATTAATAATCTTATTAGACAAGGTATTAAAAATGTCTGTACATTGTTTACAACATTTTGATTGCCTTAGATTTGGGAGGATTTGCATGCATTTCGAAAGGGTCATGGAGAAATGATGCTAAAATAATGTATACAAAAATTGTGTGTGGTGCTCTAATTGGGAATGCTTTCCTATAAATCATGCTGGTTAGGTTGAACAAATCGCACAGTTATGGAAAACTACCCATCATTTTAATTTGTCTACTGTCCACAATCAACAATCTTCTATTTGCATTTGGCTTCAGTTACAATATACCAATTCTAGCTTTTGAAGTTTTATCAGCTTATGGAATATACTATTTCAATCAATTGAACAAATCATTATTAAAAAGTCCAAAAGATTTACCGAAGACATTCAACATTTTGGAATATATCAACAAATAATGCTCAAAACCTGTGGCAAAACTCCCAGATCAGATAAGTGCTAATTTGGCATAGGTGAAGAACGATAATTTTATCATCAACAAGAGATTATTTTTGGTTTATTCAGTAATTTTTGGTTATTTGATTTTGCTGATCATTTTGGGTTTTATTAACACTGGAGTTTGCATCTTTATATCAGTATTGACCCTGATGTCTTTGTTTGATACATAGGTGGCTTCATAGGTATAGTTTACAATTTTAATAAGTTCAGAGTCTTAAGGATGAGGATGTATTCATGGCAGTCTGTATGACATATGTTGACTTCTTTAGTCCAATCAAAAACTTCATCAGGTCGATGAGATAATGATAATCATTAAACATTATAAATATTATAAATATTATAAATATTGATGCCATAATTTATTAGATTGGTGTGAGTAATAAACTTATAAAATAAACATAACTTAAACTTATTAATAACAAAGAAATGGGATCGACTTGTCTACAAATCCCAATAAATCGAAATGATATTACCCTTTGGGATCAAGTGTCCATTAGCAAATAAGAAAAGTATGCTTAGTTAAGAATCCAATAAAAATTCAGTGAATCATCATCATGCCCTGATGAGCATGTGCAAATGACTAGTCATTCAAATGATTAAAATGAGAATAGTCAAGATGAGATCAGTCTTCCTATGGTGGATTAGAGTCCAGCAAAGACTTGCAAAAGCATTTTAAAAAATAAGAATGAATTTTAGATCGTACGATCTAACAGTCAGAATAAAACTGTCTCATTCAGTTTCATACCTCCAGAATAATTAAGATAAATGATGACCTCTACTGGAAGATTGTCAGAAGAGCAGAGAAAATTTCTGGCATCATTATATGAATGAAAGTTTGAATAGAATTAATTATTTTGTATTTTATATAAAGCAATGATATAATAATAATAAATAGTCAAAATTCAGTATTGATGGTTTCTCCTTTTGTTTAGATAATGAGGGTGAGAATTAGAGTTGCAATACCAGAGACCTTCTTAATTGAGACACCAGAGAATCTTTGCTGGAGAATGCCAATCATTTCACTTTGACCAAGATCCCCATTCTTTTTAAAAGCCTGCAAACATTACCTAAAGACTTCTTCGAAATGTCTACCTAACTTTTGGATCAATCTAGCTTTTAGATTCTAATTTATTAATAAATGATATCATACTCTAATCTACTCATTAATTGGTGGATTGTCAAAATCATCTTCCACAATTTCTTGCAATTATGAGATCATTTGACTCATTTCATCATCCTTTTTAAAAGGGTCTTTATAAATAATTTTATTCTTCTTCCGTCTTTCCTCAATCGAATTATTGAAATCCTGAAATTCAATATTTGATTTAGTCAAGGTCAAAGGAGTACTATCAGCCTCCTCAATAGGGTCTAGCACTTTCTCCTCCTCTTCCTATTACTTTCTTTTTGGACTAAAAAATATGTTGCTACAGTGATTCACTAATTGTCTCCCACTCTATTACCGATCAAATGACTTGATTTGTTTCTTTAATTAAAAATGTTTGTCTGTAAGTATTTTACCACTCTGAATCCTGATGTTCAGTGAAGGGGATTTCATCATTATGTTCGGAGTTTCAGGACCTTCTGATATTTGATTCTTTCTTCTGGGAGACTGTCTTCTCGGAGATTAAGTGGGAAGAATTGATTGATTCTATTTCAACTGTACTCTCCTACTAAAATCAGGAGTATCGATGGTTCTCTTGATTTCAGGCAGTTTGTGAACACTAGGACTGGCTCTTTATTTGGGAGTAGCCACTCGTTTTTTCAATTGAGGCAATTGTTATACAGATCGTTTGGCTTTTGATGCTAGATCAATCACTTGCTATTCCTTTTAGAGTGTTTCACCTTAGAAATGACTTGATCCTATCTCTGATTATTTACTCTCGTAAAATCTCATTGATAGCTGGTCGTCGATGCTCTTTACCTGAGAGAAGCTTCCCTATTAAACTGTGCTAGAAGTGAATGCAATTGCATACCTTCTTAATTTGCTTGAATAACACTCCAAAGTGGGAGTTATTTCACATCTAACTACTTTCAAAGCAAGTTATGCGATGTTATCACCTTCAAATGGTGGTCGTTTATTGCACATTTCATAAAGAACTACTCCCAAACACCAGATGTCCTATTTAAATCCATAGGGTTGATTCTCAAACATCTCAGGAGCCATGTAATATGGAGTACCGATTACTGATTTTGCACAAGGAGATGTCGTTGACAAAATCTTGGCAATGCCGAAATCTCCCAACTTCACCATCCCTTCTTTTGTTAAAAACACATTTGAGGCCTTTATGTCTCTGTGAAGGATCTTTCGATCATGACAATACTTGACAGCCAAACTCAATTGAGTGAACCAATCAAGCACTTGAGATTCTGACAAAGAACCTTGCGTTTGTTTTATCTTCTAAGCCAAATCACCACCATCAGCATAATCCATAACTATACACAATTTACCCTTTTTGGTTTTGTATACTTCCCTGAAATTAATGATGTTGGGATGTTTCAAAGTCGACATTATTTTAGCCTCTCTATATGCTTACTATAATTTAACATATACTCTTACTGCGATCTCGATCTACTGTTTCATGAAAGACATCATCTATTTATTTAATTACACATAGTTGTCCGTCTCTAATACTCTCAGCCACATATGCTTTTCCATATGCTCCCGATCCAAGGAGCTTTATACGCTTATAAACCTCTGACTCTTAGACTTACATAATTTAAAAATCAATTCTAATAATTTAATACAATATAGTAATTAATAAATAATAGTAGTGATAAATTACTCGATGTTGTCATTGTTATCTCTCTGAAATTGGTTTCCTAATTTTAACTGTTAATATTTTATTATTTTTCAATTATGTCTCTTTTTAATTTTATAACATCCCCATACTATTATTAGCATTATTAAATACAAACTATTATAATTTAATAATATAGTAATGAACGATCTGCAAGATGATAATCCATAATACTAATTTGACGAATAACACGACTCCACTCAATAAATTGAAGAACCTACTGCTTCCTAGGCGATTCCAGTCAATCAACAAAATATCTCTTTGGATATCTCCGTTCAGGCAAGAACAATTAGCGAAGCCTCAAGCGAAGAGAGAAAACAATTCCTAATACAAACTCTGAAAGTCTTGGCTGTATAACAAATATTCTAATTGTCATTGGCCTTGGGCTTTGCTTTTGTAGAAGAATGGGGATTCTGTAGTAATTTCTTCCTATTCCTTTTCATTTCATAGAGCTTAGATTTGTATATAGCCACATTTAAGGCAAGGGGAATAAAGAAATAAGTAATAAGCTGCATAAATTGTAGGAAACCGTAATGAAATTGTAATGGCTAGGTTGGATGATATGCTATTCATTTGCAACAACTTTATTTTCTACTTTAATGAATGTGATGTACTTTGGTTGGCACTTTTATTTACTATTCCTACTAACAACATTCCTATTTCCCATAATAACCTTGGGGATGCTTATACACATTTCATCTGGACGTGTATGCATTAATACAAAATGTAAATAAAAAAATTTGGAATATTTATAGAATACTCACTAATTTACTGTGTTTTGATCTTCTTCATGGATCTCTGTATTTCAGTATTTAATGAGGGATATGTTCCTTTTGGATTCCTGCTCGGAGAGGGACTGGTATATTTATATGGATTGTACTTAACCTTCATAAATGTTTAAATTTAGTATGTAAGAATTAATACTAAATTAAGCCAGTCAATGACTTATCCCTGAACTTTCAATAGGAAGAAACAAAGTTCAATTAAATGATGAACCTGCTTGATAGAGGAACATAACGATTATCAGTGGGTGTGATTCCAAATGAAGCTTAGGAAATAACAATGGAGGAGATCAAGAAATAGAGTATTGGTTAAAGATTACTCAAGTTGGCCATTTTGTAATCCTTCTGTTTAACCTTCTATATACTCCCAATATTGTATTTGATTTTAGTGATTTGGTTCATTGTGATAGCGTATAAGGCAGATACAAAGTTTGTATAGATTGGCAAGAAGTACGAGGTGAAATTGGATGAACAATTTGTTGCTCCGATAATAATCAACTTGGATTTTTTTGGGAGGATTCAAATATGCCACGGAGTGAATATGTATAAAAATATCAAATGTCACTGCTATTCATACAAATTTAATTATAATGCAGAATTATGTTTATGACATAGATTCGATTAGGGGACTCAATCTTTCATTAAAGGTGCCTTTGAGTCTCTTCGCATATCTGGTGGACGAGATTTACAAATTCACACTCTCATACTAAAGTGCCTTTTCACTTTAATCAATGCTCCAGATATTTTAGCGAGAGTCTGTGGCTTTGGAGATTGCAGAGGCTGAGTTTTGTATCAATAGTTATGTTTACTTAATTCGATTCGTGCAAAAGAATAATATCTCTGCAGAACATTTAAGTAAATGGATCAAGGAGAATACTCTTGTATAGGATGATCATAGGGAATACCTAGTGAAGGTGTTGTAAGGCTTTGATCCAGAGGCAGTCAAGAAGGTATTGAGTTTAGGCAAGTTGAAAGAGTTGAAATGGACAGTCAATTAATACAATGGAGATGTCAAATACCCTAATTTGAAGAAGCTGTACATCTTATTAGAATTCCATATCCAAGATGAGAAGGGCAATCTACAAAAATAAATTATTAACTTGACCATCTAGGAATTCAAAATGCTTCAGATGGAATTCAAGGAAATTGGTGATATTTTGAGAAGTTTTATGTGATATTTTTACACTAATTATGGAAGTATATTATATTTGTCCATTCATAAATAACAATTACTTTTATATAGTTATTATATAAACCTTCAAATTATGATATAGATCATTTCTCATTTTTTGTTTCATAAAACTTTATGTATTGACTGACCATCTCATTTACTTATTAACCCAATTCCTATTGCATCTACATCTTCAATCTCCTTCTATAACACATAAACAAGAACAAACCAAAAAGTATACAACTCACTACTGCGAATGCAATCATAGCCCAATTGATTTCACTTCCACTATTTGGAGAATCATCTTCTGATTATTACAAAGCCGAACAAACTGATTAATCCAACATGTCTAAATCATATCATTATAATCATACTGCTGCATATGTCCTCAGTAACACTCTCAGCCTCCAAATTACCATGGTAAGGCTTGCCATTCACTAGAACTCCTGGGAAATATATTATTCCACTTAATGATTTGTTTCCGACCCAATAATCCATTATTGTGTTTTCTTTTAATTCCTTTGCCTTTTTTGAGTCCTTCTCATACGAATTCTCCACACAATCCTTCACTACCTTCTGTTAGGCTATCTAACTCTCACTCGAACAGGCTGCGTAATTTAGAACCTTAAAACAATTCTTATCGAAATAATCCTAAATTTTCTTAGACTTTCTATTACCATATACTCAAACCATTGAGTTTCATTGTTAATCCAAATACAATGCTGTCTCAATTGCTCCTCTATTATCAATCTACCTTAACCATCTCCCCTTGATTGCATGCAATATCTTCCACCTCCCATGCATTGATCGTTTGGCTGTGTGAAATTCAATCTTTTATCTCTCTTGTTCACTTCTACTTCAAAACTTATGGAAAACTTCACCTTTTTCTCCAATATTTTATAGTATTACTGAAATTCCCTTATAAATTTAAAGCCTGCCTTATCATTAAGGGTGATGAACAAAATTACTTCAGGCTGTAATATATGTTTAAGTTGCATACTTTTTCGACTTTCTTTGAATCATTGAATGATATTATTGCATATTGTCGTGGATCCTCTGAACTCGCAGTTTCCTTTAATATTTATTCACCATCCGATTTGCTAATCTCAATTGTTGGGATATGCACCTTGAAACCCATCCCATCATTGTTCAACTCCATTCCGTTGGTCAAACTCACCTTGTTACTTATAATCACCAACAACTGAGCTCCCAATTCCTGTGCCACATATGCCTAATATTAAGATATAGAATGTACTTTTGTGGTCGCTGAGCAATTCCCAATTCGGGCGACAATCCAAACATTCCCCTAATCTGATAATGGCTGGAGATTCGATTTGTTGCATAGATCTAACTAGTTATCTTCGATTTCTTTGGGTGCTATCAAAAATCCACCCAATGTGCGTCCATATGGAATATGTCCAAAATTTGCTAACGAGTAATTCAAATTCTTCGATTGCCCATCAATAAAGATTTGCAATTTTGCGCTAACCAAATATGACAAGATAGAAAATATCAGCATCTATTTGTTTAAAATTTATATAATTATATTCAGAATTATCAACCAAAATGATAACTAAAACACCAATTCTGACGTAATCTTTTCTTAGCTATTACGCTATACATTAAAATAATCATGTACTCATATCTATCATTTGATTTTTAATGCTAATACACTATCATTTGATATTCCAAGTACCTATATATATGGGTCTCCTAAAAAGATTGGTTCTTTGTTTGTCGTTTTCTTACCAACACTCCTAGTCATATGCAGTGAATAGAGTTTTTATCATCCTTGAATTCTAGAATGTCAGAAATTGAAATAAATATGCATGTAATAAAGATTTTATTTAATTATGTTAATTGCGAAATAATTGAGTATTAAAAATTATAATATAATTCTAAATATTGGTAAAGAAATTAAATTTTCATTTAATAAAACATGTTAAATATAGTTATAGGTTCAGTATGTTTATATTTAATACATAAAGATTTAATATTATGGTAGATAAAACCTAGTTTATCTTTATGGGAGATTCAGATAAAACTGAGAGATTTTTTCTTCATTCTTACATACCTATGCTTATCTAATTACTATAATTACTAGACTTATTAATGGTTGTTACAATCTTAAATCTATTACTTAAATCTTTTCTCAGCTACACTCATTTGAAGCTACAAAATGTTATTTTTTGTTTCAATAAAACCTTTTAAAAAAAATTATCCCAATAATTAATCAATATCTTCAATAGTTTCAATTTAAATATATAATCTGAAACTATTGTTCTTTTAAAGATTATTATAAAGATTTATAACTTTATAACACTTATAATATTATCTCTAGCAATGTAATCTTTTTGGTATTAAATCATTAAGTAAAAAATAAAACTGAAAGATCTGATTTTCTAACAAAATACCACTATTTTGACTTAGGATTAATATTATTATTATTTCAATTGTATATTTTACAAATTTTTGGTTTATATATCAAATTATTTTATAATTACATTCTATTATTATAATTCAGTTCTTAAAATCCGAAAAATTCTTATCTTTTTGGAAATTACAATGAGAGGAATAAACTCATAAAAACATCTTTAATAGAGCTAGATGCAATATATCTATCACTATTAAATGTACAAATTATATATCAGAGATCTAAAATATAACTTTGAATTAAAAGAATTTAGAAATTATTAGGATAAATTAAATTAAAACCATAAACCATAAAATTTCTATTAAAATCTAAAGCAATTATATTTGTAGATGATATATTGAACAGGATTTAACAGTAAGTTGATTATAAATAATAATCTAATGAGTTTTAATAATAATAATAATTTATTAAAAATAGGATCATTATATGTCTCCTGATATTTCTAGTAATGAATGTTAATGATGCATCTTATAGACTTTAGAAGCTTTTAATTACAATAATATTTTACTTTCTTATTATTTCTAAAATGCCTTTAGGAATGATTAAGGTGATTAAGGTAACAATTTTCTGTCAATTTTGGTGTTTAAATTGGAGGTAGATGAAGTTGGTTAATTTTCTTTCTATCTAGCATAGTTATTCTAAGGAGGAACGTCTTCATATTTCTATTCCCTTGAAGTGGAAGCACCGATGGCAATTTATTAGGTTGACTATTTCCAAAATGGTTTAGGCATAACTGATAGAGATTCTCTTCCATAATCTCTAGAAGATTGAAGTCCTTCATTCTTGGGTGAGCCCACTAAAATTATAAAAATATATCTTACTTTGTGACATGCTTCTGCTAGGTTGTTCAACCTGATCTATAGTGTCTAATTCTAAGAATTTACGATAAGCTGTGGAATTTCTAACTGGGTCTAGTTTAGCTAAATCTCTGATATATGATTGTAAGGCTCTTCTTCTGTCTTCAATGACTGTAGGTCGCTTAGCATTAAATACACTGCCAATATCAGCTGTATTGATGATGGCTGAACTTGATTCTGGCATTTTCAAATTGGGATATTATTAAATGATAGCTTAATGTAATTCACAAAAGTTTTTGTATCTTCTGGAGATAGTCCATTTCTTCAAATTATATTGCACTCGTATCATGTATTCAGTGTAAGGTTTATTATCAGGAGTTTCTCTAACCATGGTTTGATTGATTGATATTTACAATTGACTTAAATCAATTGGAGGTGGTAGAGGATGACTAAGTGATTGATTGTGTGCTTTTTTATTTGATTAATTTGTTTATTATTGTTATTACTATTATTATTATTATAGATTCGTTGTTCATACGTTATTAAGTTTAAACTATTGGATTACAAAGGATTATTATCAATGCAAGTTGATAAATGTTAACTAAATCCATTACTTTAATATTGTCTATTACAATTTATGCAAACAATACTGGAACTATTTTTGAAGATCTTTTTGAATTTTTTAAGTTTAGTGACTTTTTCTTCTAATTACTTGCATCTCATTTCCATTTTATCCATGGCAGCAGAGAGATTTCTGTTGGTTTCTAAGAGTTCAAGAGTTGACTCCTAATAATCATTGCTTGGATTGTTTTAAGCTTAAAATTAGATGGTAATACTTACATTACAAGGCAATTAATAGGGCATCATGCAATCTTTTGTTTTCATCTAACTAACTCTTCAAGAAGGTCACTTAATTTTCTAAATAAGATTTTTCAACCATCCATTCGCTTTGTTATCTAGCAGTTTATTTCTTTGAATCGATATCATTATTCAATTCTTATATTTTTTTTTCGAATTCTAGTTGCAACTTTTGTATCTCCTAAGCCCTTCCATAGTCTAAAGAATGGCACTTTTATTATAACTATTCATTGGCAGCTTTTTATGTGATCAATTCTTATCTGAGTTTCTTGTTCTCATTGTCCAATTGAGAAGATCTATCATTCAAGCTTTGTATTTCTTTTTACAAGAACGCATTTTCTTGAGTAACTAAGGCTAATTATTTATCATGTTATTGTATTTGATGTTGACTCTATTATTGAACTTAATGTGTCTATTGTTAAATTTATTAGAATTGTGTTTTAAGTTGTAATTCACTTTTAGATAGTAATTCATTCTCCTTACTTAACTTCTCCAATTTGCTATGAGCTTGCAATTCCAATTAATGCTTATCATCTTATAATGCCTTCAATTCCTTCTCCAAATTCTATACTTTATACTGTAACTGTTTATTCTCTTAATTAGTTTGTTAGGAAGCCTTCCTGGTGAGTTTCTCAGCTGCCTATTGATAAATTTATAAACTCATTTCATCAAATAACTAAGAAACCTGTTAATTTCTGCCAACCTCTTTCTGGAATTAATCTCTAATTTTAAACATTTCTGATTATAATTCATAATAGTTGGAAAATTCGTCATTCTTCAATTTCTCCAGAATATTTTCAATATGAGGCTACAAAACTTTGGATTGATGGTTCTAAATAACGAATTCAAAAATACCTTGAGATTTCGTTTATTGCTCTATTTGAGTTCCTTGAATTTATCTTCAAATTATTCTGCTAACTTCTCTGTAAATTGTTTGAGGTCATCCTCAGATCCTATGGCTTTCAATCTGAATTACTTCCTAACCTATTCCAGTAATTGTTGTTTGACAGCAGGCAAGTCTTAGATCACCTGATTCTTCAGCTTTTCAATAGATTATTCAGCCATGTTAATGCATTCTCTGAGGGCTCTCTCTCCTTCAGCCTTGCATACGTAACCCCATGCAGATTCCACATTTGGCACCTTACCTCCATTGATCAAATCAACATAGGCCTTTGCCAATTGCAATAACTAAATTCCATTAACCATGCTTCCTTAAACAGACTTAGGTCTAACTCGTTTGAAGATCTTAGATCTGGCCTCTTTCAATTGCTACACAAATTCTCCTCTGAAACTGTTTTCATGCAGAGTGTCCAATCTTTGGAGATCTTCCTCTCTCTCAACTGGTCTGACCATCGTCATACAATCTCGTTCTTTGAAGAAGTGTTTGATCATTCTCCTTATTCGATTCTTCTATTCGACAGAGTCAGACAATCCCTTGAGCAATTCCAAGCTGTTTTCCAGATATTGCTTTGGATTGATGGGGTTTCCCTATTGGTCGACCATTTGAAGTGCGAAATCTCTGACGATCCAGAGGAATTGAGGGAATGTATTTTCGTTGTTTTATTAAATGTCCTATAAATTGTTATGAATTTACAATTACCTTCGCAAGATTGACTATCAAATTCAAAGTGTTGAGGGCATTTTCATCGATGTTACCAACAGAATTGTAAATGAAGTAACTACTCAAGAGGAGACTGAACAGGAATATCCTGGTATCGTGATTGACATTCTCATCCATGCCTCCGAATCCTTCAGTATCGATGATGATGGCCTTCATATCTGGGAATTCAGCATTTTGGGCTGTGATAGTTTGACTCCAGATCCACAAACCCTTGGTGCAAGGATTTATGGTGGGACCCACTGAGAAGCCTCCTGCTTGTTGATTCAGAAGGACTCGATTGACGAAGAAACTTTTGCCGGTTCTATATTTGCCTACAATGGAGACAACTCCCAGTTTTTCTGATCCTAGGGAGGTTAGAAATTATTCAGCTTGAGGATCCACTTGGAATTGATTGTTGATGTATTTTATGAAAGGAATGGCTTTGGGTGCATTCATTTTTTGAATTTTAATTTAACGATTTATTTAACATAAAACCAAAAGGATCTAAAATTGGTATATTTGTATTGGTTAAACCAATGGAAGTTGGGATACGAAATAACATACTGAGTAGATATTTGAGAATACGAGGATATTTTACAATGCTGGTGTTTTATTTCTGAGTAAAAATCGATTAATCATCAATCAATCAATTATCATTCCTATCAATGGACGCTCAAATAGGGTTCTCACATTGGTGTTCAAGAGTCCACAAAACAGAGGCAAGTTGATCTTATAGATTTCTTCCAAATGGGCAGAGTCGTCATCCATGATCACAGATTGCTCGATTGAGAATTGTGAATTCAGTGCAAAATCAATGTACAAGAAATTCTATTTTTGGTGGATGGGAATGATTTTCTAAAACTATTCAATCCACACCAATTAGTGATTGCTTAGGTATTTGGTCACGAAGGCCTTGCAAAATAATTTATAAGTACTTGTGAAACTTGGCTGACCACACTGAGTTGATCATTCTGAATCTGCTGAATCAAAGTTTGATTGGTCAACTCTATAAAATACAGGAAATAGAGGGGATCCTGAGTAGCAATGAAGAAGATCTTCTAATTCAATTGATAATTCTCAGATTGAAATATCTATTGCAATCCATTGTAATTGGGTATTTCTAAATAGGTCTTATCTTTATAATTCACTTGTCTCTACCTTTTGATCTTCAGTTGCGTAATCATTTGAAGCAAGTCGAACTAATGGTGATATGTGTCTATTCGTATACCTTCTAATATCTGCTCTCAAATGAAGGCAAATTGATTGAGAATTTGATTTAAGATCTAAGATCTTCAGGAGTTTAAATACTCAGGAATTCTGAATTAGGCAGTTTGCCTTGGATGGATTGCAATTTCTTTTGGAGGTAGGAGTTGGAATCAGGGACTTGTCCATTGACATGACATTAGAAGCAATCCTCAAAGAATTACTATACATTGGAGGAGTGAAGATATTCTAAATGATTTTGGATTTGGTTTCTCACTTCACTCGTCTGAGTGGCATAGTAGGATCTGAATTAAATGGAGACTTGGTTTTGTGTTTTGTTGGGACTACATAATCATATTCGAATAGGATACAATTCTGCAAGGGATCGCTTAAGATAATAGATAGTCCTTCTGACTTGGGTTTTGGCATCATTGTCAACTAGTCTCCATCGGAACTTAGCCTTTTTGATTGAATTCATTATAGTGGTATTTGCAACCAACTCTCCTTGCTCTTAGTAATGATTCTAAATTAATGTCATTATATATATATCTTACCTAACAGATTTGGATTTCATTAGCTGAGGGATCAATAGTGAAGATGTATTCGATCAATTTGGTGAGCAATGGAGACAAATTGTTTAGATTGTTAACCATGATTGATTCAATGACCCACCTTTTCTCTAGGATATGATTCTCGTCAACGTAGATAATTGCATGGCCAATGTTTAGATTAATCACTGAACATTCAAGTGAATAATTTAATTTGTAGATCAAAATGGCAGGATCCGAACAAAACGATCTCTTGATATCCTAATCTGTGTTTTTGATTAACTCCCTGAGAACAGACTCAGTTTCCTTCGGCTATAATTGAACTGGGACAGGAAGAGAAGCGTTGTTATTGGTTAATTTTTCAGATGTCTTGATGATATTCTACTTGTCTATCAGAATGGAGAATAAGGGTTTATTTATTTATTCCAGATCACTCTGCACAATCCCAAAAAGAAATGGAGGCGATATGATCTTATCTGCATCATTAAACTATTTGTTGGTGTGCAATGATGGATTCCTGGGATATGTCACTGACAAATAGGTATCATTTTGAAAGTAGGCATCAATATTTGTGTCATTTAATTTGAGCTACTTCCCACTACATTTGAATTGAGGTAGCCAGAGATGCTGATGGCATTCCTGCTACTTGTCAAATTTCTCAAAGGTTTGGTTGATGAAGGTTTGAATGTTGGAATTAAAATATCTAATTGGATTGCACTTCCATGACGAATCTATTGTTTGAGTGACAATTGAATACATCTTGATAAATGGGTCAATGGTGGAGATCAGATGAATCACGCCGTTAGAGTTTTCCGAGGAATTTAACTACAGAATGGAGGGTTCCTGTTTATCCATGGTCGGATGCTATGATAATTAATGCATTTAATAATTACAGCAGTAAGTCGAAGGTAGGGCTGAGTGTTGTTTCGATAGAACTCACTACTGAAGTATTTGAAATTGAGTTTCACATTGAATTGTTGGAAATAGACTGGAGTGGTAACAGGAGAACTGAAGTCAATCTGGAATTTGTTTTTCACATCGTCTGGTTTCTAAATTAACATATAGTCTTGACCATACAATTTATTTTTCTAATATTTTTAATATTAATGCTTACACTCAAATATGGAGCCAATGCCAAGATGTTGTTTTCAAATTTGATAATTTAATTCTTTCCAAGATTTGCACAATATTAAGCAATAAGCAATTCCTCGTTTGTTATCAGAGTTGAATCAGTTTCGGTTGCGTAAATTCTGAGCATTCTCAAAGTCAGAGGAGTGTAATATCTTCGATTATTATGTTGCTAAGCATTTTAGATTTTCTATTCATAAATGACCACATTAAATTGATTATATGTTATGTTCTTTGAGAATGTGAATTTCAAATCAATCAACACTCTTTTGATAGACTAATCATTGCTGCAGCAAATTGCCAATGAGGTAAAAGAGTCTCCTTACATTATCAACATTTTGATAAAATGTTGAATCACAAGATTCAATTTCTATTGCCATTACACTTCCTTTTACAAATATATTTAATGCAAAATCCACCTTCTTCCATTGAACTCCTAATCGATTGAACATAGTATCAGTCCATTTTAATTGATTCTCACAATGGCAGCCTCCTGCCAATACATCAATAAGTCTTTGACGTGATTAATTGGATATTTAAAACTGTCATTCAATTCTTGTACATTCTGAGCTGACCAATTCTCGAGTATTGCCTCCAAATCCTTATATGGATACGAAACCAAATTAAACTGAAAGTCCTCTGCTGTGTATATCACTTTGCTTGCATAATTCCCCAAGTTGATGTTCTTTTTACCTGAAAATCCTGGAGAACCTGCATGATTCATTTCTGAATTTTAGGAGGAGGGATTCCCAAGATTCACAGGTTTGTAATCTTTTATTTGCTTATTGAAGTATTCCTGGAGATCTATCATCTTCTCAATGTATTTCTTATCCATCTTGTGCTTCATCAAATGCTCGTACTTCTATTCGTCGTCTTATTCTGCTTGTTTGACGACACTCAGGTAGAAGATGTCCTCGTCACTGAATTAGAAATATTGTCTCATCTTGGGATGGTGATTCTGTATGAACTTATGATCTTCCTTTATTTAATGCAAATAATTTCTGTCCTTGATTCTCCAGATGTAGTTGTACTCGAACCTAGAGTTCAGAGAATTCATCCATTTCCTATGGAATTCAATTAGATTCAAAGTGAGTTTGCGAAGATCATAAATAAATTTTGAAATTGTTTTCAAGAAATCTGAAATATTCCCTTGCTTAGTTCTGGATATTTCTTTCAGACACCTATCCCTCCCTATGGTCAGCTGATGCAAAGTTCTGACCACACTTTTGTTGGTTGAGATGCTGTCAATTTCAATTCTCATCAATTCATCAGCTTATTGCTAATGTTTCAATATCACATTATAGTAGTACTTCTAATGACACTCGGGTATCTCATGTTCCTTCCACACCTACATCATTGAATTAAATCTCGAAATATTTGAATTAATTGGCTTGACTACCTAATCAAAATTAAAATACGTACTTTCCAATCTCTCCAATCGCCGATCATCAGCACCATTCTCAATTCGCAAACTCTAACCACCTTAATTATTCTACATTAATAATTTATATTATTTATATATTTTAATTTCTTTCACATATTATATTATCTCATAATATACCTAACTCTCTTCTTTCGATTCTCAATTCTTGAAATAATCACAATAGTATCATTATTCCCATTTTGATATTACATACAATTATTTTTAATTTTATAATATGGGAAATTCTTAGGGTGCAATTGATGGGAAGAAAATAGTGTCAGGGTAATCCCATTTTTTAATTAATAAAGGTTAGTTAATAGTTAAGTGGAACAAATTGTAAAAAATAAATCTAAAGAAAAAGTAGAGTTTAAATTGATGCTAATAGATAAAAGGAGGAACTTAGAAAGATAATTAGAATTATGTTATATTAAGGTGATTTTTGTGTAAGATTAAATAATATATTGATATAATAATGAATTATTAAAATACTACATATATGCTTTGATTGATGTAGTAAAATACCAATATACCATGTATTTAATATAAATATTAATCTTTAGATTGTACATATTGAGATAAGTTGAAATTGGTTCAAAGTAGGGAATAATACATTTTATTCAGAAGGAGTGGCATGAAGCAGGAGAGTGGGGGGATAGTTAAATGGAAAATGATTTATTCAGCTGGGTCAGTATTAAATAGCATGAGTGTTTTGATACTTAATTAATATATATTTAGAATTTTGCTGTTATATTTATGTGGCATAATGCAAATTCTTTGCTGTCAAATATAACAAATAGTTAAGAAAACACTAGAGGTTATGATTGTTTAGAGAAGAAACAAACAGTGGAGGAAGTTTTGGAGGAAGAAACGCGGAATAATTATAGTGAGGAGGAAGATATGAATAAGGAGTAGTCAAAAGAATTTGATCCTCGCGAATGGAGTTTAAGTAGGTTTGAAATGGGTCGTTATTTGGGTAATGGTAAATTTGGACATGTATATTTGGCGAGGTATTCACTTTAGTTTATATCCAATTAGGGAGCGTGAGAATAAATTCATATTGGCTCTGAAGGTAATCAGTAAGAGACAACTAATTTTGTGTCAATTAACAGGTTCATTGACCAGAGAAGTGGAAATTCTCAGTCATCTGAGACATCCAAATATAATTGGATTTTATGGTTTTTTTTAGACTGAGAAGAGAGTGTATTTGATGTTGGAATGGGCTCCTTTGGGGGATCTTTATGGGCTGATGAAGAAGCAGACCAACAGAAGGTTTAGCGAAGAAATGGCATCCACAATCATTAAGTAAATCACAATGGCAATTGGATATATGCATTCGATGAATGTGATCCATAGAGATTTGAAACCAGAGAACATCCTCTGTTTTCATAATGACATCTTCAAGATCTCTGATTTCGGATGGAGTGTACACACTCCTTCAAATAAAAGGAGAACGTTATGTGGTACTCTAGATTATTTATGTCCTGAGATGATCAATTACTAGACTCATGACAATCGAGTGGATGTGTGGACTCTTGGTGTGTTGGCTTATGAATTGGTAGTAGGTATCATCTCTTTCTAATCGTCTTTTAGGCAGACCTCCCTTTGAGTCTCGCAACGAGTAAGATACAAAAAAGAGGATTTTGAATTTGATATTCCAATTTCCCAATTGGTGCAGCAAAGACTTTCAGAATTTTGTGAAAGGAATTCTCTAGCATGATTGCAACAAGAGACCTTCAATCACTCAAATATTGAATCATCCTTGGATCACAAAATGACTCTAATTTATATATTAATTATTTATTCATTAGTGTATTTTAATCTAATGGTACTATTCTGCAATATTATGCATAGATCAGATTCATCTTACTTTAGAATAGATAGGGCAAAACCAGATTGTCCAAGTGGTATGTCTATTACGATGATGCCGAAAAAATCAAACTGCAAAATGAGGTCCATCGATTGATTGTCTGCAGAGACACCAAACACACCAATTTCCTTGAAGTACACTACTCCATTCATTGCCATAGTTCAGGAATTATAAGATCATTTACAAACGTTATGCTGGCTTGTTTTTTGCTTTGTGCGTTGATGTCTCAGACAATGAACTCACCATGCTTGAATTAATACACCTTTATGTTGAAGTCCTTGACAAATACTTTGGAAATGTCTGTGAATTGGATATCGTCTTCAATTTCAACAAAGTAACAGCAATCTTTATTTCAGGCATATTCAATTTTCGATGAGATGATTATCGGTGGAGAAATTATTGAAACCTCCAAGTAAGTCATAATTAATGCTGTCAAGAATATTGAATTATTAGATTGATACATTTTAAGCCATTTATTCTTTATTTTCATCCTTCCCTCTCACTAAAGAAGTTCAATTCCAAATATTAGTGCATATTAAAAATGGAATAGTAAAATTATAGAATTTTTGCATTTGTAATTCTTAACACCTCTTTCACTTTCGAATTACATTTTATAGTGTATTTCTTTTTTGAGTTACTCTATGAATGTTATAATAGTTAAGAATTTCAATAAGAATTTTTGATATTTAAGTTTTCAACAAATTTAAACTGCCTTAATTAGAGTAGAAACAAATCAAATTCTATATATATATAATTATAAATCATATATCAACTTTAGAGATAACTAAGTTGTTACTTATCCTAATAGTTGGATTAAAATGGATACTAGCTAATTTTTTCCTATTTTATCATATATATCTTTAAATAGCATAAGAATTGATCGACATAAGCTTATGTAAGTTATCTTATCCTTTAAATTCAGTATCACCATGATTATAGCATGAATTCATGATAATTAGTTTTACTCCTCTTCTCACTCGATTCAATCTGTATTTAGATAATAAATAACCTCATATTGAAAAACCTTAACATAATTAAAAATTTTCAATTTTAATCAAAATCAAAAAAAAATGATAAAAGATTTTTTTTTTAAAGTTGTAAATTTTAATTTGTTTTTGGATACTTATTAGCCTTTTATATTTAAAGCAACTTCTAAGTGAGAGGCATTATAGGATTTAATACCAAAAAAGTTGTAATAATTTATCTATAAATGCATTATAATTTTATTAGCTTACAAATTCAAGCAAAATTTCAGCAAAATTTCAGCAAAAATACCAATAGAATTTCTGCTATCATTAATATATTTTATTAATAGAAAATGAATTATTTCTTGTTTTCGTATTTTTACTTAAATTATTGATTCTGATATTAATCTAATGAAGGTGCAATGCCAATTATAAAAAAAATTAAACTAATTGTAAGCTATTAAATTATTAATAAATTTGATATATATTGGAGCTAATGAAGTATATTTGCATAAGCATGTACTTGAAAATATGGTTGCTAGTTAGAGTCACTTTTTGTACATCAGTAAAAAATTTAGTTATTTTAGACAACCACTTGGATATATCCTGATGAGAATATATATATAAATTATATGGCTTATTAAATTGATGTTAACAAAGAGAATTTTGATGAAAAGAATATTGAGAACTTAAATCTTGAAATACTAAAAGAGATAACATTAGAAGATTAGTTGTCTATCGAATTAAGTGGAGATGAAAGAATATTTAAGTTTACTTAGGGGGACAATATAGATGTGATGTTATTAAGTAATAAGAGCATTGACTGTTTATATCAAGTTAAGAATTGCTTGTAGAATGGTGAAATAATTATGGAAAAAAAAGAATGTCAAATATTGTTAATCCACCCTTAATGCTATTAATTACACTAATTGGAAACATCTATTTACATAGTTTAATGTCAATATAATGAAAACAATTCTATTATTTAAATTGTTAATTAATCAAAAATACTTGATGAAATTATGATTCCTATTTAACCATTTTGCAAGTCGGATTCAACATTTTATTAATAGACATTAATAATATTTAATAAATAATGTTAAACAACTAAATTTTATTCAGTGTAAATACTAAATTAATCATTTCAGAATATTGAGTTATTTGATTTAATGGATTTACAAGGATTTACTGAAAATAATGCAAAACTTGTTGATATTACATTCATTATCTAAGGCAATTTATACATAACTTATACCAATTAAATACTTCACCTACTTCTCGAAAATAGGGAAATATCAATTTTCAATTAGAATTCTGGATTTGAAATTAAGAGATTTTTGTTTTTCGCCAATTAAAAACAAGCTTTAATTGCTAAAGTAAAGACAGACACTTAATAACTCTTTTTGAATGATAATTAATTAGATTTGAGTAGCTAGGATTTCTTGGATATATTTATTATAAAACAAAACTTTATTGTATATCACTTCAAAAATAAGTTAATTGCTCAAGTTGATAGCTGGTCCTCCAATGTCATATACTTAAATTCAAATAGCATAATTTAAATTGATTAATTACCTTATTTGATGGCTATCTCTAACTAAAAGTTAAAATTAATTAAAATAATCTTACCAAAATCTGTAATTTCTTATAACAACTCTGACACAGTGTAACTTATACATGCTACATTACTATCTACTCCTAATAAATTGATTAATTTTAAACTAGGTGATCCAAACAATCCAATTCAAGACTTTGATCAAACAAAATTATATCAATTAATAACCAACTCCAACTATTATCTATGTCTATCATACTAGAGGTATAAAAGAACACTCCCTCTCAAGTTAACTTAGATAGTAGAGAATGGAAAACAATCTACAATTCTAGATAATTAAAATGCATAATTTCTATCTTATATCGATCATATCGTATCAGCTGGGAAGGTTCTTTTTTTGCATAAAACCAACAATGATTAAATACTTATAATATAGAAAATAGAGGACAAATATATCAAATTGATTTAATATTCAAATAGCGGACTATAAAATAAACACTTACTTAAATTACTTGATAATGTAATCAAAATATTTTTTCTAAGAGACTTCATGCATTTAATAATAATCTATGAATATTAAATAGAAATTTACAAAATATCAGATAGTTAAGTAGTGAAGAATATAAGAAGTAGTGCTTTAAGGATAATATCAGCAATTTAATTAAAATACTTTGTGAATTATCTAATTGAAGATTGTAGTGTAATGTCGATTCAATTTTTTCAGAATTGGTTTTTGTTAGGTAGTAAATAGTATCGATTTGATTGTAAAACTTCTCTTCAATTTTAAAAGGAGGACTTATATATTGACAAGCATTCTATACATTACAAATATAAACTGTAATATAAATAGATTATAACCCTAAAAGAATAGATTTATGAAGTTAGAAATGTACATCATAATTATATTTTGATGTTTACTTTTCATGATAATGAATACCATCTCAAATTATATTAAATCTAATAAGAAGAATTTCTTTATCTATACACACTCCCTACATATAATTTTCGAATTTTATATCCATTTTAATATCATATTTTGACTTTCATTCTAATGATAAAAGCATAGAGTTCTGATTAAGATTTTGTAATATTGATATATGATTTAAGATACACAGCTGTAGAATCCTTGGTGAAAATTACAGAAATTGATCGAGAGGAAAAACTATCTTTTAATTTTGTCAATGAAACTGAGTACATTTACTAATATCAGGGATAATTGAGGATTCAAAATTTAGATTCCCCATGTTTTACCTTAAATATGTCTGATGAAAGTTATAACTTCATCTAGGATAAGAAGACCAAAATTACCACCTAATCTTGGATTAGCAATCTAAGTATCGATTTAGACTTTCATCTCATTAGATTCAACGAAAACTACAAATTATAATTATTAAATTAGTAATAAAGTCTTCTCCCTAATAATATTGTTAATTTGAAGAATATTTTTGGTAATATAGATGATACATAGATTAATGGACCAGAAGATTATTAAGTTCACCTACCATTAACTTTTACAAATAATTCAATAAATTGCTTTGTTTATCGATTTGGTCTCTGTGTCAGACCAACATGTATTTAAACAAATGTTTTTGATTTAAATACATCTGCTCCACTAGAATACGAGAATATGGCATTCACCTTAATTGGAATTGGACATAATCCAGATACTTGTAATCATGCCATCTATATACAGGGACACAACTTTATTAAAGTAAATGAGTTCAATCTTTGCAATAACAATACTAAATTAGAAAAGAATTATAAAATTAGAACTGATGACATGGATTCATTCTTGAATTATGAAGATATCAGGTAAATAAATGATTTGCTGATATATAAATCAGAAAATAGAGTCCTATATCTCGCTTATTAATATTATCCTCTTTAAGATAGAAGGTTAACGAATACCCTCCAAAGTTAGTAACTTGATGCTATCAAACTCAATAATTCCATTTATTTGTTTTTGAATATTGAGTTTAACTATTTTGAAATAAGGATTATAAATTTTACAAAAGGCGATGAGAAGGTTAACTATGATATCCTTTATCATAAAATATTTAATTGGGAAGACTTGCTTGCTAATATTTAGACATAATATCTTTTGATCAAACTTATCAAGACTTAAATCTACTGGGTGAATACAATTAACAGTCAAACAGAAGTTAGGTTCATCGTTATTACGAATTCTTAATTCGCCTTTTTAATCAAGTTTACATTTAATCTAGATGATTAAAATAATACTAAGGTAGAATAATTAGGGATATTAAGATTTTAATAGGGAGCTGCATTTACTAAGATGCTCTTCATTGATAATAATTATGCAGTTCTAAGTTTTGAATGCAATGAATAATTGTTTATTAACGTATTTGATATTAGCCATCCGTTTGAGCACAACAATATTGATAGTACCTAAAAGCTACCATTTAATAATTATACAGCAATAGAAAGATACAATAAAACTCATTTTGTAATGATTGAGAAGATCGCAAAAGATTAGTAGAAGGTCCATTTAATCACACTTGGTAAATTAAGGGTTGAATGTTAAGGATAATGTTCTAAACCTGCTCACTTAAAGTTGAGTAATTAAGTATCAGAAATTTTAATAGAAATTTAATTTAATAATGGTAAAGAACCTAAGAGTTTCTTTCAAATAATAATAATTATAATTACTTTAATTTGTATTTTGATCAAATTAATTGCTAAATAAGTGAAAAAGATTAAAATCTAGTTGAATTAAATCTGAAGTAATAAAATTTTTGTATTTATAATATTTAAAAAAGGATTGATTCGCAAATTATTGTTAAAGTTCATACAATAGATTATCATATCCATATAAGTATGAAATGATAATGAACTTAGATTGATAATTTCAAAAAACTATCAATTTATTATATATTCTAATATAACGATGATTTTTAAATAATCGATTATCTTAAAGTTTTATTATATAAATTTTATAATTATCATTAAGGAAGTTTAAAATGAATTGGCTTTATATTGATATTAATTATGTACTTTTTATAATAAAAATGAGAATCCAATATGGTATTGGTTTTCATTATTAAGAAATAAATCATTTTAAATATCGCCAAAAGGTGTTTGATTTTTCAATGCATTCAATATTTTGGCTTCCCTCTTTTAAAAAAAAAAAATGCAAAAATTAGTAGAAAGGGAGGATTAATATTGTATTTATGAGGACCAAATATAAATGATACGATGTGGGAATGAATAGATGAATTTTAAATTAATTAAAATAAATAATTGTTCTGATATAATTAAAGTATGGAAGGCTCAACAACAGGGGAGTATCATTAGGGGAACTATTCAAAATGGATCGATAAATTCCAATAATAAATTTAATTTTTATGGTTAACTTAAAATGAGGGAAAGAATCAGGCGAATTAATTAGATATTATGACACAGGAGTATATCAAATATAGTAGTGATAAAATTAAAGAGCAATTCGAGTTGATTGCGAAGCTCATGTAGTAAAGACAGTCCTTAGTCACTTAGACCTTGGATAAAAACTTGGAGTAGCAAAACCAATTATTGAGTTCTTAACAACACTGCACAGAAGTGACAATAAAGAAATACGAACAATTCATGGAGGACTTAAATTAATTCGTTAGACAGTTCAAAAACAGAGAGGAATTGATGGAATTGAGAAGGGTTCATGATGACTACTACAAGGAAATGAACGAATTCAAAACTGCCATTATGAAAAGTCTGAAATTCTACTAGGGGAAAATAGATAAGAAGCCAAGGCAGAGGAAGGTCATTCGTAGTGCAATCAATAAGGTGCTTCAGGCAAAGGGGATTGATAAGAATATATCAGAGATGCTAGTGAAATATGAATGCATGATAGAGAGATACGAAGTGGCAATAGACAAGAAGGACTTGAAATTGTTTAAACTTGATCAAGAGTTGGCTAAGTTGAAGAAGGAATAGGGCACCATCGAAGAGTAAAAGACTCAAGCCTAAATACAGGCGGCAAGTGAGAAAAGCAATACTGAGAAGTGGAAGTAGAGTGAGCAGCATCTCGTGGATAAGTTGAAAAAGTAATAAGAACAAGTAAGTGTATTGAATTTCAATTTGAATTCGTTTTGCTAGGACTTATATAGAAAGTTCACTCCGAAATTACTAAAATTGTATGAATATCAATTAGTGAATGTACATTTGAAACATTTTAGGAAAGAGATGGCTTAAAGCGTTCTGATATCTTATGATGGAGAAATAGCATTGTCAACTGTGTGTCAGGAATAATTAATTTTGTGGAAGGTGAATGAAAATAAAAATAAATGGCAATTCTAAAGTTAATTAAAGCAGGTTGATCAAATTTAATGCATGTGTATTTCTGATGAGAAGTGTTCATTTTTTGCTGGATGTGAAAATGGAGAAATAGTGTATTGGTTGAGAGATGATCCAAAATGGAGACCAATTACTTAGGCATAGAGACATTAGAGGGGAGTGAATTGTATTCAAGTGGATGCTAAGAATAGACGAATGGTTTCTGTAAGTGATGATTGCACAGCCAAGCTTTGGGTTGAAAAGGCAGATTAAATCAATTGGGAAGTAAAGTACACACTATTGGGTCACTAGTCTGGAATTTAAGCGGTTCAATTTAATAGAAACTCTAATGTTATTGTAAGTGGGGGGTTCGATCAGATGATAGTGTTATGGAACTTTAGGAATTAGGAATGGAGCCAAAATTAAATACTGAAGGGACATAAGGGGAGTATCACAACCTTATGTTTTAGCAAATTGAGAGATATTTTAGTTTCTGGTAGTTAGGATTGCTTTGTTAAAGTGTGGGAAATGGAGTAGAATCAATAGTATAAAAAGGTCTAGACTTTGGATGGTCACAAAGCTTCTATTACTTCGGTGATATTTAATTCGGACTCATCTATTTTGGTCACTGGGAGTAAGGATTGCACCATCAAGTTTTGGAGGTAGAACATGTCTAATAGATGGGTGATTCACAGGGAATTCCAGTAGAATTATATGATTAGTTAGATTTCGATAAGCAACAATAATTAATAGATAATTGTGGGTGGTTATGGAGGGGAGACAATATTTTATAAATCTCAGGATTATTGGGAATGAGCTGTTAATATATTATTTATAATTTAATTTATATTTTTAACGACATACAGATGAGTTCTGATGAGGAATAAGATAATTATAATGAGGATTAGATCATCAATTTGATTTCTGCCTTGCAACAGAAAAGTAAGAGGTGATGATTATAAGTGTCTAGTAAAGACAAATCGAACCAATAATGGAATGATGAAAACTACTAGAATTAGTGAATCAGATCAGTGGAATGAATTCAGAGAGACCTAAAAAGAGAAACCTTAGTTAAACAATTTCGGTAATTCCAATGAATTCAGTTTGTAAAGAGAATAATCAAAGCACTCAAGTATTTCTGAGAATTTGAGTGACTTTATTGTAAGGACAGATAAACCTGCCAAAGAATCTCAATTGAAGACTTAATAAAATCAATCCCAAGATTCAAGTGAATTGGTATTTCATTTAGTTTATTCATTTAGACTGAATTGAAATAGAAGATGGATTATTTACTAAACCAAAGGGAGAAGGATTAGGAGATGTTGGAGTAGATTAATGCGGGGTTGATGTTTCTGATTAGTCAGATTCCTAAGCCAAAACAAACAAGTTCAATTGGAGTGCAGACTGTTAGTTAAAGGGAGAATTCTTAGAATCAGTCTACTCCGAATGTTAAGAAGACTGCCCAATAGACGGTGCAACAGATGTTTTAGGAGCCAGACAGATATGCATTTCAGGAGATTAGAAACTTTTGTTTTAAGCGGTGATTTAGGTTTAATTAAATTGAAATTATTAAATGTTGAAATTTGTAATATATTTATTAAAATATTAAAATATGTCTTAGAAAAGCAAGTTTTTTTAGTGGATTGATTACAGAGTTCGTATTACTTTGGGTGACGGACGTATGTTGGTTGGAACCTTTTTAGCATTTGACAAACATTTGAATGTGATTCTGAGTGAATGCGAAGAATACAGAATAAGAAAGCAAGGTAGAAGTTAATTTTAAGGTAGGAATCCACGAAATCGAAACCAAAAGAACTTTGGGAATGATCATTGTGAGAGGCGATAATATAATATCATTGTCAGCTGAAGCCCCTCCTCATCAACCTCCAAAGAAACAAGAATTACAACCAGGACCAGGAAAAGCCCAACCAATAACAAGACAGGGAGTGACAGGAGCACCAAATATTGGTTTAATTTCTTAGCCAAAGGGAATGGGTTTGCCTGGGTAATAAACTATGATGCCTGCAGGAATGAGTATGCCTCCGATGTGAAATAAAATAAAATTTAAATCATTATCTTCTTACACCACCTCTTTGTAAAACAGTTATCGTCTAAGCAATTAGTGCTTACTCCTTCTCATATTCTGCTAACAATGCTGCATGTTGAGCCTTTCTTTTCACCCATCTATCTTCAATGAATTACAAGGTTTCTTTTGCTTCATCCAAATTGGCTTGGGCATTGTTCAACAATTCGGTCTTCACTTTAATCTATTCTATAAAATCAATCAAGTTAATAAATACCAATTGTATTGGCAATCAAATCTTACAACATTGGAATCACTTCATTGACTAGTGCATCAATCTTCTTAGTGTAAGACTCCAACAACTCCAAATTTGAGGCTCTTTCACTATTGTAATTGCTGGTTAATGCATTTCTGCCTCCATCTAATGAGTTTCTGAGTCCATTCAACATACCCAACACCTTCTTGAGGAGATCTTGATTGGCCAAGCTAATGTTAATTGATGTTCATACTTATTTTATGAGAGTTACATGAAGATATCGATGATTGGTTAGTACAATACTCTGTGATTCTTCAAATTGATTGAACTGAATTTGCCAGCCAAGGTCTTGAGTTAATCTTATTCGGTTTGGATTAACACAGGATCTAATCAAATGTATATTGCTTTAATGTACTTCTCAAACCAGACAACAATTAAATGGCCTAGTCTAAAACATCTATTGCTGTATTGAAATCACTAATTTATTTGTTGTAGGTGATTTCATTTTATCTGATGGTCTCTTCCAATTAAGCTTTTTGCTTTTGAGTTCTGTCCAATTCCTCTTGTCTCTATGTCAATTATTATTGATATGATTCCAAATGGTTGTTCAATGATCTCAGATCCTCAGTGTGTTATGCAACTTCTGCTGTGTAGAAAGTAACTAAATCTGTGTAAAAGGCCTAATCCTCAACATATTAAGCAAAGTCTGCATCAAAAAGGTTGTTCTCATCTACTTCTGATTGCTATCAGTATAAACTACTCAAATGTACTTTTAATTAAGCACTCAATTAATCTATGGCATCGAAAAGTTTGTTAAAGTTAAATTGTGTGCTCATCTCACTTAATTGCATAAACTTGCTCATTATTCTTTCCACTCTTGATGTTGGATTTGATAAGGTGCCTTGATTACTAATGCTCACTGCAAAAGTGAGGGACAACAATCCTAATAACATAAATGTTTTCATTATCCGTTTCTCAATATATATGAAAAATTAATATAATATAATTCAAAATCACTTTGTATTTTTAGTTTTTTGAACATTCAATTTTTTATAGTGTCACTTAATAAAAGAATGATTAGTAAATCACTATTACATTATATATATATTCTATTATAGCCTTTAAATAGATCTTATAGTTATTAACATTACTTGAAGAATTAACTAATGAGTAAAATTAACTAAAATTATAATAAATAATAATATTCATTTTAATAACTTCAAATGAGCGACATCGTTTGGACATGTAGAGACCAATGCTTAGAATAGTTTCTAGGAAGCTATTTTAATGTCTGGTTTCTATTCCTCTTGTAACTTCTTAGCCAAAGGTACAAGGTGTTTCACCACTAATTACGGTCGTTCATCATAAAATTATTATACAAAATCTTAACATAATAATGTAAAATACTTGCTAACATTGTGATGGCTATGCCTTTAGATTTGGCTGGACCATACAATATGAGATGTTAGATTTAAGGTAATGAATATTGAATGTCAATATGTATCATAAGTTCGTGAAATAGTGATTCAGCTGATTACCTTACTGAGTTATTTGTCGACGAGACAACTTTAAAGACCCCATTCCATATGTTAACATAGTTGTTTTATAGAGGAAGCTAAATGATAGTAATTAATTAGAATACTTTAAGTGGTTCAACTAATTGGATGAACTATTCGCAGGTATACAGAGCTATGTTTTTATTTCCATCATCTATAAGTTTACACAACAAATCCAAGAACTTATTGGAATATTTATGGCCATTCAAAGCTTGAGCCTCTTTTTTTGCAAAAGTGCAGAGCCAATCAATAGCCTCCTTCTTCTACTTCCAATCCTTTGCTATTTCAGCCTGATTCATATAATTCGGCATTTATTCAAAATCAGCTGACAATTTCTTGTTATTGGGTGTCCTATTTCTGAGTTCAGTAGTTCTGGCTTCCTTCTATTAATGTAGCACCAAATTTTCTAAATTCTGAAGTGGTGGTAGATTCACCGTTTATGATTGTCATTATACGCTTGCATTCTCCATCAGGTGCCAATTTGATAATCAGGGATTCTAGTTCCCTTTTATCGATTTAACTCATTAAACTAAGCAATCCTTCTTTGGCGACTTGTCTCACTTCTTGGCTTTGGTCACAAACATAGATGCAAAGGATTTGCAGCATCTTTTCGAACTGTTGCTTATTGGGATCCAATAGATTATTCAAGGCATAGCAGATGTTCACTTTGATTGCGATGGATTTGCTTTGATAGACTTGGGATATCAGAGATATAGATTTGGATTCGGTACAGTTTTGCAGTAATGAAATTGTGGCTTTTCTGACTTCATCGCTTATGAATGCGTTGAGATCAATAGCCTTTTTGATGAGTTTCTGAAGTGCTTGATCCATAATGCAATCTAAGTCTTTCTTGTAGATATCACTAAGTTCCTAGAGAGAAATCAAAGCATTTTTGGAGACTCCACTCCTTAGGTTTTCGATTTGTTTGACCATTTCTTGCAGAATTTGTGGAAAATTAATGGATTTTTTGAGTAATTCAGTATTGTGTTTGGCCAACCTTCTTAGATTGTTGAGGGCTTCAAACTATCTAATCCAATCGTCGTATCTGAGTTCATTCAATAGGGTCTTTAGGACAGATTCAGGTTGATCCAAAGGGAGGACGGAATCCAAATAGATGGGTTAGAATGTTTTATCGGCTTCAGTCTTGGGTTTCCTTTGGAAGGGTTTGGTGTAGGTGAGACCGGTGTCTTGATCTGGGATGTCTTGTTGGGGATTTTTAACTATTCTGAAGGGTTTGCTTTGTTGAGTGGCTGGAGGTTGGTTGTACTCCTGTTGTTGTTGAACGTGTCTGAATTCGACACTGGAAGATTGAGGGTGAGATTCTGGTTTTTGGGCACTCCTTTGTTGTTTTTAGGGTTGGGAGATGATGGTGGGCACGTATCCTTGTTATTGTGATTGGAAGATGGGTATATCAAATTATTACAGATTCTTGGGTTCAGGCAAAGATTGAGTGTATTGTTCCTTTGGGTCTCTCTGTTCCCTTTGTTCTTTTTTGAATCGCAATTGGGGGAGATCGGACTTGTTGGAGGAGGCAGTACTGACATCGATTTGGTTGAAGAGATCTTCAGTGATGCCGAGTTGTGAGAACACTCGCTTGGTCAGAGGCTGATTGATTGTGGCCAACTGAGTAAGGGTTTCGATGGCTTTAGAACGCAGTTTCTGTTTCTGGTCCTCGAGGAAAGGAGCCACTTCTTTGATGGCCAACTCGAGGTATTGTGAAAGCTGCATATTGAGGAATCAGGTTACCAGCATCTTATTTCTTTGGACCAAGTCAATGAGGAGATCCAAGAACTCTTCTTTGTAGAAAGAATTCTTGTTGGGCCATTACAAGATTTGAATCAGTAATTCAGCATCCCCAATTTTCTACAAATACATGACCAACACTTATCTGACAGCAGTTCTGATTGCTGACTTTGAATCCCCTAGCTTAGTGTATATATTAACTATGTTGCTACTCTTCACTATGTTGAACTACAAACATCTTTGCATAATCTATAGAGTAGTTAACACTATATTGAAGTTATGATCATTCACTAAATTTACAATATGCTCAAACAAGACCTCCACTTGCAATGGAGTCAAGACCACATCTTAAAGTTCCTCATATATTCTTTGTATGGCCTCAGCTCTCATCTACCACTATGTATCCTTCAAGTCTTCCAACTTGTCAAATGGCAATCCATTGGAGGTGGGCTCTCGCAATCTCAACTCGTGTCTTATCTGATTGGTTTCCTTCATCTGCTCTGCAAAATGCTCCACTTGAGATTGAACCCCCATAGGCAACTGAGCATGACATTGCTTATATTAATTCAAACTTATTAAGGATATCAGAGTCTAATCAATATTAAACCACTAGTACCTATTCCGTAGCCTTACAAACTGCTAAATTACAATCACACAACTTCTCTAACAACATCTCCACCATATTCTTGACCACTCCGCTGCCTGCCTCCAAGTGCTATCCCTCCGACAAAAACAACGACTGCAACGAATTCACATTCTTCTATCTCACCAACCACTTATATTATATAACAAAAAATTCTTACATTCGGATGCACCAGTCCTCTGCTTAGCATCGCCGATAGGACAGCATCGAAACTCTCATTTGCACGAATATACGCCTGAAAAAGCTGATGGGATGCCTTCCTCAGATTTGGCTATGAATTATCCACCTATATCCTATACCAATTGATCTCCAAGGTTCTCTGACACTCTCGCAAAACAGCGCACTATCTCCTTCTTATCCAAGAATTCATTTAATTGCAACGTCGCATTGTAAAACAACTCACTGGAATGAGTCCCATTGCTGCAAAATAGCTGGATTAATTCGTTTAACATATTATATTTAAAAATTTATAATAATGCCCCTAATTAAACAACTTTCATTCAATAAAACCCCCCTCCCCCTCCTCATCTCAAGGACTCCCTTTAACAACCTCCTCACCTCCTTTTTACTCACGGATGCATCACAAGATATTTTGAATTTCCTAAATCGAGGTTTCAAAAAGAAGGAATGTCACTGCAATCCTATAATTTTTATAAATTTGCTTTTGTGTTTAGGTTTATTTATGATATTGTTATATTCATCAAATAATAATCGTCATCAATGACACGATTATAATTGAAAATATAAAACTTTCACAAGGCACACACCCTCCTCTATTAGGCTTGCTACTGCCCCAATGGTAAGTCCTTGCACTGTAAGTATAGCACTGATCAACGCTGTAGTCCGAAGGCTTCGCATTTTTGCACAACCCACTATTGGTATCCCAAGTACATGGAATGACATTATTTAAATATGGACCGATTGTTGGTGCCCCCAATTCACATTAAGACTGCAATTCGAGCTAAGAACAAGTCATGTCTCGGCATTAATAGGAGTATTAATCAAAATAGCACCCACTTTACTCACAGGATTTTGTTGAGTTGGTCCACAAATCTGCACATGATTTAAGTATGATACAATTCTGACCATTCCACATGCACTTACCCTTTGAGGAATAATAGTCATTGCAAATGTCTGGATCATTTATATCTGAGCATTTCTGTAAGAAATCCGTGGAAAAACAATTAATACCATTCGAGGCAGGACAATAAATGTTTGCTTAAAGACATTCTGATTGACTTTTCCCTGGAATAGATTCACAAGACGAGAAGTTTTTGCATTTCTTATTGTACCAATAGCATCTCTAAGACGACTATAGACAGTGACTCGAGCGTTCTATGCTCGAACAGGCTGTCTCAGTACATTCGCTAGTATAGGAATTCCAAACGCAATCCGAGCTATCAGCTATACAATCATTTAAATAGATTAATTCAGAACAATTGCAACTGTTCCTAAAATCCAAAGATAATGAGTTTATAACAGGGGCTGTACAAATTATCAAGATAAAAGCAATGAATTTCATTACTATTTATTTTTAATGACAAATTTGAGTTCAAATATTCTTGTGATTAAATTTATACTATTTGTACATTAATTTAGTTATATTCCATATTGTTTGATTATTTTTATAATTTTAAACAGGACTTAAGGTTTTTCTTAACATTTATCTAATTTACATAAAATTTAAAATGAAATTATAATTTTTAATATTTATAATTCAATAAAAATTATTATTTTTAAAGGAAACATTACTATTCTTGTGAGAATTATGCTTTGAACTCTGTTCAATCTCCTACTTATAACTCTCCACCTAATCCAACTATCGTATCAGTTCCGCAGACTCCTTCTATAATTTGATTACATCCTTCTGTTAAATATTCTTATAATATAATTATTTGTTTACCTTCTGATCAATGAATTTACCCATTTGACCTTTAATTTCCCCTATCAATTACTCTTATTAGTTTTTGAGTTCTTTTTTAGCACTCCATTTCTTGTCTGTTTAGTCCTTCTATGTTTTAGAATTCTAAGATTAGGAAATTTACTTGAGTATCTTAATGGCTTCCAATTATTGTTCAGTAGGAATTTGAATCAAGCATTCTTCATTGTTATCAAAGTAAAATAGTTCTACAATTTTCCTAAGCTTTGCCTCTTCCAATAAGTTAGAAGATTACTTTTACGCTTTCTTCGAACTCTTCTCAATAGAACGTATTGCTTTTTATAATTGAGTATTGTCATCTAACAATTTCTGATTTAAATTTTTTTGTTCTTGATATATTATCTTGAATTCCTTAATAAGTTTATCTGATTCATTAGAGGATTTTAATTTTTCCTGCTCTAATTGTTTTTTTAATTCTATCATTTGGGTTTCCACTTATCTGAAGATATTCTGTTAATTCTCATTTTCTACTGAGGAGTGACTTGAAGTGATGGTAACTTAGTTTTATAGTTTACTCTCCAATTCCTTACTAAAATACTCCATTTGTTTACATATTTGTTTCTATTTATTTAACTCTTATTCTAACCTGTTTTTATAGATCTATAAATACTCTTGGTTTTATTATTGCAATTGCTCGAATTTGTTTTCAATGTCCAAACGCTTTTGTTTTTCTTACTTCAATTCAACTTATAATTCTTCAAGATTCTGTGTTATATGCTTAATATTGTCAGAGATATTTGCTAGTGAATTTATTTCGTACCCTCTCGCAGGACTTTGAATATCTGCTTACACATCTTATTGAGGAATCAGAGTTCCTGGCAACTGATAGTTTTATTGATATGGGAGCAAAATAATTCCTCTCGATTCATGAGGAGTATAATTATAGATATCGCTTTACTAAAAAATAAGAGAAATAAAGCACTATTTAGGGAGGCTTTATAGCCATATTCTTTTCTGGAGTTCTTGCAGTGAATTAAGTTGAAGGTGTATTAAGCTAGGTTTGTTATTTTAACATATAATAAATTTATTCACTTTAATTATAGATGTTATATAGGGAATTCCATTAGGTTTACCCCTTAGAAATCGGGTATCTCTTGTTCATATTGGGTTGAATAATCTCATAATCAATTTGTTGTCAATCTTTCTCTTTTAATTTAGAATTCTTTGTCATCTCACTTCTTGTTAATGAGGATATACATTAAACTAAAAACCCATTACTTATATTGGCATTTATTTGTTTTAAGAATAAAAATAATTATTCATTTAAATATAATGTTTAGATCCTACCGACTCTATTATGCATTTAATCGATTTTCTGGTCTTACGAAATTCACTAAGGATTATTATAAAATACTTAAAATTCCTGATACAGCAACTTAAGCCGATATAAGGATTGCCTATTTGAAGTTGGCATCTAGGTATCATCCAGAATCATAAACGAAAGATGAAGCGAAGTATTCTGAGGTTCGAGAAGCATTTTAAGTATTGGACTTAATTTATTGATAGGTTTTATCAGACACATCTCTGAAAATAGAATTTGACAAATAATAGTAAAACAGCAATGGGTAAGAGAACTATGAATTTAAATCGAGTTAATAAGAGTAAGAAACAACTTAAAAACAGGAGATAGAAATTTAATTCTTATTCAAAAAAGGTGACACTACGTTTCCGTTTAAATTGGATGTTTCTAAATAAAAATAGTTATCGAAAGAAGAGTTAGAAAAAATTTCAGTTTATCATATGAAGAAATTCATGGTCATTGATGGAGGATTTAATAAATTCTTCAAAGATAATATCAGTTAATTGGAGAAAGGGCTATCTTGGATAATTGCGATATTGTCCATTATTGCAAAAAAGAAATGATTATGAGTTATTAATTTATGATAAATACACATATTTATCACTAATAGAAATAGGGTGTGATATATGAATTGAATTTATCAAATTTCTAAAATTAAATAAAAACAAATAAAAATTCAATCTCTAAATCAAATGGGTAGTACTTGCTGCTAATAAATTGCTAATGTATTCAATAATGATATTCATCCTAATGAGGAAGGCCAAGAAGAAAATATAGAGTAAAACAATAATTAGAATAATTAGGCCTCGAACTAATGAGATTCAAAACAATTCTATTTATTAAATTGAAGTTACTTTGAGCAAATTGGATACCAATTTACAGTAATTAATCATTTTAAGAGAAAAGATACGTTAGCATACTAATAATTAATAAAATCCTAATGATTAAATATGTAATTTTCCTACTAAAATAGATAATCTTTCCAATAAAATAAGTGATTCTATTAATAATATCATTTCTTATTCCAAAATGATCATGGAAGATGAAAATAGAAACTATTATTCTGAAATTTAAATCAATCAAATCAATAATTTTGCAAATCAAATTTAAAATTCTGCTATTATTATGGTTGATAGCTTTGCTAGAGGAATCAGTTCATCTAACTATTCCAACGAATTAGTCAGCTATCTTCAAGTTGAAGGACCTTTTAGTATAAAAAATAGTAACAAAACAAATGGTTAATAGAATCAATCAGAAACCTTCATATAGACAAATATTTTATCAACTGGAGCTAGATTTTGATTAAAACATGTAATATACACAACCAACATGAAAAATAGTATCTCTCTCTTCATTTATATAGAGATACAAGCCGAGAAACTGAGAATTTCTCTTATTTTCTTTTTCTAAACTCAGCTTAAATTTATATGTTTATTAAATGATAATATTATCAAATGTATTAATTTAAGAAGGAAGGTATTGAGTATACGTTTGAAATACCTTTGGCCAAGAATTGCAAGACAGATCAAATAGTGTATTCTGGAGAGGGAAATCAATCGAAAATTGGGGATTATCATATAAGGGAAGGTGGTAAAGTAGAAAAGGAATATTATAGCATTAGTTTGGAGCAAATTATTTGATTTATGAAGACAAACCTGAAGTATGCCATTCAAAATACACTTTGAATAGGCAATGTGATAACTTGATTGGGATTAATAGGTTGGCAGAGAAAACTGATAAAATAAGTTTGATAGGTGATATGAAAATTATAAGAAAATACAGAAGAACAACAAGGAAAGAAAAGCGAAAGCAATAGTAAAGATAGTAATGATGAATTGATATATTATTTTTATGCAAATAACACCAAAGGATTTTGTGCAATATTCATATGTAAATGAGCATTATTCCTATCATCCAAACGATGAGACCTAATAATATTAATAAAGTTGAATTATGTAGTTGGTTTATTACAAGCAGTTGATGGAGGTGATTAGTTTACATCTAAGACTAACTTATTTTAAGCATCATAATTGTACTATCCATAATGAAATTATTTTTGATTCTGTAGGCTCAGATCGAATAATTTCAAAAATGCAGTGATTGAAAGCTTGGATGCGAAAGTAATTGAAATCGATATATTAGATAATATAAGACTTAATATACATTTTAATGGATAGAATGGTTATTTTTGGTATTAGCGGGAGTATAAAAATATTTTATATCGGAAGGATCAATTAACAGATCTTTTGAATGGTTAAGTAAAACTCGATTTAATCGACATTCGATTCTTTAATTAAGGGACACTTGCTTTACAATTTAAACTTAACAAAGATACATTAATTCTTTAGACATCATAATTGTACTGTTATGATAATAAAATTAATTCATGTTTTCTGGATTATATACTAATTTATTTGAAGATATTGATTTGGGTTTGGATTTGAACAAGTATTTCACAACCACCAGTGTTTAATTATATACAAATTAATCATCTTCGTTTTCAATATAAATAATCAAAATTATTGAGATTCATTAAGTTTATTTATATATTTTCCTTAAATTAATAATAATGTCTGAAGAAATTGAACTCAATTTCAGAACTAAGGCTATTTTGACTCCAAAGAATTTCAATTCAGAGAAAATGCTGGTCGCAAAGGTGATATTCGAAGAATTATTCGTAATCTTTGAGTCAGAACAAAAAATTACTGGATAGCACTTGAGAGAACCATGCGAATTCGAATAAAACTAATTATATTATTTTCCAGATCCAAAAGGAGCCACCCTTGAAGAATTAATAAAATCGAAAGCAAATTTATCAGTAGAAGAAATAACTGACTTATTTAAGTAATTGTTGATTGGTTTGTATGTGTTACACCAATAAGGCAGCTTAGGTCGATGCTTTACAATATAAAACACCTACATTTCCAATAACCAAATAAAACTCTCAGTATTTGGATTTTATCCAAACCTTCAGCTAACACCTCCTGAATATCTCAAAAATAATGAATATTCACTTGGAATCGATATGTGGTTGTTGGGATGTCTGCTCTATTAATTATTAACTTAAAATGTTTTGAATAACTTTAAGACCTTTGATGAATATAATAAATTTTATTCTTAATTGGATAAGAAGAGAATGCCTCAGCAATTATCATCCCTTGTTATGAAAATGTTGCAACCGGCTGAGCAGAAACGAATTACTTTCTCAGATTTACACACTGTCTTCAAATGTGTCCCAAATAACGATCACATATGTCAATTCTACAATAAACCATAAAGTCTGTCAAAAATAAAATTTTCGATAAAAAAACGAGAAGCCTTCAATCCTGAATGGGCAATTGTAATAATTTATCGCTAATTCATAGCCGAAAGAATTCAACGAAAAAACTAAACTTCTAATCTTCAGTACGCGATATCAAAAGCAGTCTCAACTCTTGATGGAATTACAGAATCCCTCACCAGATTTTTTGCCATTATATAATAAATCTGACGAAGTATGATATTTGAATTTAATCGTCTAGGAGAAGAACCTCTACCCTCAAATTTGGAGAGAATTGCATTTCCATTATTACAAGTTCTTCATCATGGAAGAACAAATCAACTCTTTGGATTCTATTGCCCAATATTCATACATTCTTTGGACCAGATTATGCCTTTTGAATATGCTCCTTATTCTAAAACGAGAATTTCTTGGCCTAATCAAGGATCAAATAAACTTTCTCAAAGTATCTTAGGATGAATGGAATAACTTTATTAAGAATTCAAAATAATTCAAATATCACTTGTCTGAACTCAAATATTAAATGTAAAAAGAGTAGAAAAAATTGGATACCCTATCTTTAGAAGCCGATTGTCAATAAGTGAATGCTGGTTACTTAGAGAAGGCGTTGTGGAGACAATTGAATTTGGATGGCGCATTTGTGGATGTACGTATTTATTCATAACAAAGACTTCCTAATTAAATCTATTCGACTAATTTAAACTCCCATATAGAAGATGCCTACAATATTGTTATTATGAATTGGATAGGTTTATCGATGAAGAGGGAGATTCAGATGATGGACTCTTTTACGCTAGACTAAGATTGTAACTCATCATTTGCATGACCATAAACAGGATTTTCGACCTGAAGTTTGATAACAATAAACAACATAGGGATATCAATTTTTTTGAACTCAAAAAGGCTTTATAAATACCTGAACTAACCTGTCCCTCTTAGGTGAATAAATTCTTAAAAAATGCAACTCTCGATCAGTTGAAGCAATAAACAATTGATATCCACAAACTATTTTTTAACGTCCAACCTATGTCTAGCAGAAATCCATCATGATTATCTACCTAATTTAAATGTATTAATATATTCCTAATTGTTTTCCTTAATATTATCATCGATCTTCTCTCAATTTAAATCAACACCCTATACATAGATTTTTAGCACTGTTATTTGGAATATAAATAGTTTAATATATTATGATAGAAATTCCACAGGTTCTATAAAATAGCTTATTGATGAACGCCTTTTTGATTTAAAGAGCTTTAGATTTCTTTAGAATGCTTTCATTAAGACAGGAGAAGGAATTATGTTGTTTTTTACATATAACTTAATAAATGCTAATCACCCTTCAATGTTAAAAAATGTAAATATTTTTACCATTAGAATATATGTTGTATGCTTCTATATTTTCTATTACCAAACTAAGATGATCTAATTTTTTTTTTTAAAAATATTTTTATGCTCTTTAGACAGGAGTAGAAAATAATATGACTGAAGTTCTAATCTCATCACTTAAGAAACAATATAATATAGCCTTTTTGAGTTTGATGACGTTATTGTTACGAGAAATAATTTTACTAACTTTGGAATATACTCATTAATATATCAGGGATATTAACGTTACCCATAATACAATTATTCAATATTATTGATATATTTCATGTTCTATATTTAAATAATCATTTTACTCAAAATAGTCACTAGCAGTTCAAATAATTTTTTGAAGAAGGTGAATAATCTTCACAAGTATTTGAGTTGAAATTCCAAGAGCATCCAATTACATTTTTTAGATACAATCCACCTAATTTGTTTATGCACTGCACGTTAATGGAACACAACCAGCAGTAACCAATTAGCAATATGCTGGGGGATAATTTGAGGCTCCGCTTTAGTATTGAGCACAAGATGAGACTTAAACACATATCCACATGCATAGTCCATCAAGTGAAACATAAATTTCACATGTGTATAAATATCATGAGATATCGACTATACGAGATGATCTCAATGAGATATATGCTTAGAGTTAATCAATAGGTTCACAATTAGTGCCATTTGTAGCTTGACAATATTGGTTTTATATAGTGCATTGAAGCTATTTGTTCCCAGTCAGTTAATTTCAAGGAGACACTTTGACACAATTTTACCCGATCATGAGCATTTTTTTGATTGTAGCAAACAAAAGTCGTAAATTTAAATCTGACTACAGTCTAAACTTTTGCATTCTTTGTTTTGATATCCCAAGTGCATTCTAAAGAAGAGTATACACAGTGATACTCTAATACAAATTAAGAGCATTCCCAAATATGGTTGAGATAAAATGTGACTTAAGTGATCAATATGATGTTATTAACTTATATCAATATTAATTGTTACTTATACTTTAAAAACCGCAAGAATCAATCTTTTTCTCATAATTCTATAGATTCAAACTCAATTAAATGATAATTTCTTTCGACAACTGGTATATTTATAACAGGACTATTATTAAATCTTTTATAATTCAATCAGATTTTATCAGATTTCGTCAGATTTCATCAGATTTAAATTGTAGAAACCACTTGATTAAAGCAGTGTTAAATGGACTATGGTGAGGAATATTTATTATTATATAATGGAAATATTTTTAGAGAAAATTCAGTTCAAGCCAAGACTAATATATGATTTTTGAATTGACTAAATGAAATTAATTGAAGATCATACTACAAATAATGCGGGTCTAACATTAAAATCATGACTTGGAATGTATGCATAGTGAAATAACAAGGCTAACTATGTATATTTTGGAAGTTGTTTATACTCAAAATTGAATTTAATAAAAATATGATTCAAGGAAAGATGAATAGGATTTGGAAATAATTGAAGCATAATTTTAATGATTCTTATATTCATCATTATTAAACGTCGAATCAGCTTGATATATTAATTATTTAAGTTAGTCAACTTAATATTAATTGCCAATATATATATTTTATTTATTAATATGACTATAAGCAATTTTAATATTTTAGATTTGCCAACAATTATGAATGGTGCTAATTCCTTATTTTAAATAATATAATCCTTTATAGAAAAGTTTTATATATAGTCCGAAGCACAACTGGGGCAGCAACATATAAGCACGCACTTTTAATTTAAAAGTAGAAATGATTAAAATCTGTTTTGGTGCAAAAGAGAATTCTTTAATAATAATAATATTATATGATAATTATTGTATATTCTCAAACATACAAATCTCTTCTTGTGGGATAAGGTGCCATCTGCTTAAAGTTTAATGATGTAGTGGGTTTATTTGAAAGAATGGATTCTATTTTTTGTTCAACTTCTTTGGTGATCAACTTAACCACCTGAACGGATTTCACAGTCTCTTCCAATTATTCAGGTCTTGTGGCTGATGTAATGGCAGTGCTTACATCCTTATTCTTAAGAGCCCAGGCGAGAGAGAGTTGTGCTTATGTGACTCCTAACTCTTTGGCTACTTCACCTAGTTATTTTAATTAATTTTAGATTTTAGTTCTTTCTAATTAATTATATTTTGATATATCATACTTTCAGGATCACCTAGAATTTATTGGTAAAAGTGTTTAACATAAATATTATCGGAGTTGTTAAACCTTCCGTCAGCCAAAATGTCGTCATTGTATTTGCCAGTCAACAAACCTTAGTAGAGAGGCGACCAGATGGTGGATCCATATCCAGAAGCGAAAACACTTTCGTATTCCCATTCAAATCTATCTCTAACCATCATATTGTATTATGGTTATTCAACAACTGGTTTGTGTAAGGATAATCGATCACAGATTCCTAAAATAATCAAATAGAAATGATACCAATGGCTTGATGGATTTATTAGGCTGTCCACTCGCTTGTTCCCCAATAATGAGCCAAACCATGTCTAATGATCCAATCAAAAGCTCTGCAAGTTTCTTCCAAAGGAGTTTAATAATCATATCTGTGGGCGAAAACAATATCCACATAAGGAGTATCCAATCTTTTTAGAGAGTTTCTCAAGCCTAAAGAATAATGAAAATGAGTACCTTCTATGAGATGTTTCCTAGATAAATATTTGGAATTTGGAAAATCATTTCCATCACCTCCGTAAATTTTGGTACTAATAACAATGTCTTATCTTTAGACATTGAGTGTTTTGAGTGCGTGACCGAGATGTATCTCTGCTTTTCCATCTCCATAAATTTCAGCGGTATCGAAGAAGTTGATTCCTAATTCCCATGCCTTCTAAATGATCTTGGTATTTCGATCTTGAGTGTCTTTGTCATCGGAATTGACCCAATTTCCATAACTAATGGCAGATACCTTAAGTCCTGTGGCTCCTAATCTTCGATATTCCATTTTAATTTTAATTATCTTTATAATTTATTACAAGAACCTGTTTTTAATTATATAATATGAAATCTATTATATTCTGTTGTAATATTATTTTAATTGAATAATAAACTCATTCATAACTATATTATTTATTGAAATCAAGATCAAAATTAACCAACTCCCCCAACTATTTGATAAGAATTGCACTTGAAAGACTTATCAGCTTTGAGTTGAAATTTGGGAATACAATAAATAAACTCTTGGAAAGTGACTCCAATTCTAAATTAAATGATAAGTAATTCTGTTTACTTGATGGTGATTATTATGGAGTTTGAAAATTCAATTATCTGGACACGGGATCGTGTTTGATCATTTTCACTGGTGTCTTTTAATAGATGATTTTTCTTTGCATATGTCTTCTAGGAATTCCTTTGATTTAGGTGTCATCCTGATTCTACAACACCTGCAAGTCTTCCCATCGGTTCTACATCTTGAGTCTCCTCTTCAATGTGCTGTTCCAATGGTTTTTAATTGAATTATCTGTTCTGCCTTTCAATAATCCAGCAATCAGAGACCAGCGATTTCCTAGTTTCTTATGAGCCTCAATTATGGTTTGGTCCTCCTCGTCGGTCCACCTCTCCTTATTGATCTTTGGATCCAGATGATTATGGAATCTTTCTTAACTTAAATTTGAGTACCTCTCTCTGCATTGCTTCCCAATCCTCCCTGGGAGATGCTTGGCAATTTGACTCCAATTCTTGGGTCCGTAGCCAACCACCAATCTACCTAATAACTCATCCTCTTCTTGAGTCCAAGGACCCTTTACTAAATCTGGGTTGAGAACCTTTTGCCAACGATGCAAACATTGTACGTCGGTTCTGTCTTAAAAAAAGGATGCTATTTTCTTCCAATTTTTAGCACCATATTAAGACACCAAATCTTTGAGTTGTTGGTCTTCCTCCTCTGTCCACCATCTAAAGGGATATGGGATATTGGGGGATACCTTTTTTTGATCGTCTGTGGGGGATCTATGTGACTACTGTTGAGAAGGTTTTCGACTTTGGACTTAATTTCATTAATCTTCAATCTATTTTTATTAGGAAGTAATTCATTCAATTGTTTGAAATCAAAAAGGGGACTTGAAATGTTATAATCGTTTGGAGAGTTGAGGATTGTTGAAATGTGGGTCTTTTATTACAGAATATTCATCTAGTTGGTTGTTAGTTTCGTATTGGCTACAATAAAGTCGAAATCCAATGGATGAGTTTAGAGTAAGTATTTAATTTGATTGATGCATTATGCTTTGTCCATTTTTGGTAAGTTGTATCCATTCACTTCGAATTCTTAGATTAGGTCTGGATTGAGCATTGAACAAATAAAAATATTAATTAAAAGATTAATTATAATATGTGTTTTTTAACGAATTTCAATTAATTTTATTATTAAATTATCTCAGAATTTAGAATCCAAATCATTCAACAAATTCAAACAAGTCCTCAAGCTAATCAAAGATTACTTTGTCTCCGCTCGTGATTTCTGTATGAATTGATTCTCCTACAACAATTCATCCACCAATTCCTGCTTGTACAACATCCCAATCAATTCCCTTTCACAAAAGTTCCTCGATTGATTCACCAAAAACGTGATGATAGTCTTCGGAACTGAATCGCAAATGTTCTTCTTCACCAAATTGAAGTACGAAACCAACAAATCCTTAATCATGTCCATCTCTGTCTGCTCTCTCTTCGACGGTCTGTCGGTGATCTTGATCGTATTTGGAACCTGAGGCAACTGTCTTTTTGGGTCATTCACAAAATACTGCTGATTCACAGACACGATCTTATTGATCACCGATTGCTGCTACAGGATCTGACTCTCCTCTACCTATTATAACTTTTGCTGCTTCTGATTGATGATGTTGGATTTCCTCTTCTTATTCAAATTGTCCAATTTGCTATCATATAACTCAGTCTGCTTGTTATTTTTGAATGGCCAGAAATTGAAGAACCTATTGGACTCATTCTCACTCTACAGAGGAGACTTTTCCTTCTATTATTATTACATTTATTATTATTATCTTTGTTCATCCTTATGCACCATGTCCATCCCAGATACAAAATCTGGATGACTTGTATTTATGTACCCCAATTCAATATCAATCAAACTGGATATTATTTCCTCAGTCTATCTCAAACATCTGTTTAAAAGATTTTCAATTACTTCCGAAATTCTATTAGCCAGAGTATCAAATCTCTCTATCTCTGGAATCGAAATCTAGTTTATCACTCTCCTCAACTCCTCAAATACGATATGAGAACATTCAATTGAAGGCATTCTCAATCTTGAAATCTGCTATCTTACTAATAATTCAAATGCTCCTTCAGGAACAAATAAAGTTGGCCTAATTCCATTTGCATTCTTGATTGCTGTTCTTATCTCGTCATCACTTAAAACATCAAATGGATTCATTCTCTATATGGTTCTCCTGAAAGTTTCATTGAATACATAAATTATTCTAGATCCACCAATCAATTCCTTACTTGTGATATCCAAACATCTCCCTTCCAGCATGTCCTTATAAGAACTGGAAAATTTTGATATTAAAGTCAAAACAAGCAAGTTCTTATTCTCCTTAGTCTCCAAATTGTCATAGTCTCCATACTACTTGAGATCGAATTCCTTTATTTACACTAAACTTATAATGGTTTCTCTGATAATTGGTAAAGCCTTCTTGATATGTTGAATAAAATTCATGTTCAGAGTCTTCACCAAGAAATTAACACCCATCTTTTCAGAATACTTTTTGTACAACTTGTGATTCTCAAAAAATGCCTTTTCGTCTTTTAGCTGCTCAAAAATGGTCTTGTTCTTCTGGATATCCTTCTGCCCTCTCATTATTACCCCCACGTATCCCAACTACAATGGATACGTTTGATTAAGCAGATCATTTAAAGCATCAGACCCTTCATCCATTAGATCCAATTAAGTTATCACTCCTATAGTTCTTACACCATTGGGATCAACACTTCTCGCCAATTTCAACCCATCTGACGTTGCTAAATCATCAGATGCTTTGGACACTGCCAATATCAGACTATTTTAATTGTTGATAAACGGCATCACAATGTCCAGAACCTTCTATTCTATATCCAGTGGTTGATCCCCAACTGGATTCTTTGTTATTCCTGGCAAATCAATTAGTTAGAGATCAAGGATGTCTTTTGAAAAATATTTCACTTTAATTGGCGCAGGCGATATCCCCTTATTCTTCCCTGCCACCTTATCCGTCTCTGACTCTATTAATTTCCGTATATCTTCTGATTCGAATATCTTCTCTCCTTTCTTATCCATAAATTCAAACCATCCCAGCTCCGCATCCAAAACCTAATGCAATTGAATCTCGATCGGTCTTCTTGTCACAATCCCCTTACCCCTTGGCAAAAACTCTCTGCCAACAATACTTTCAAGAAGAGAGGACTTTCCAACTGATTAAGACCCAATAACAACTATTGAAGGCAAATTCAATTCGCTGCTCAATCCTGCTTAACTCAGGATATCCTATACGAAAGGTATTATTAATTCTATACGTGCAGATCATTAATGAATGGTATTAATTTTTCCATAATTAATTATTTTCATATATCATAATATGCTGTTTCCCTATTATTAACATTCTGCTTCTGTATTTGTGGGATGTAGACCTTTTTATCTGTAAATTTCTTCTAAAATTTCTCCAATCTCTCTCTTTTGCTAGCCTTACTCTTCACCATCTCATCTGTATGATGCTAAAAGTATTTGCTCTTTTATTTATATATATAATTTCATTACATTCTCCTTCATCTACCTCCAAAACTCGTCTAGATCTATATTATAAGTCAATGATTTCTATTCCAAAACCTGATTCAAATTTTACTACGTTTTTCTTTGAATCTGCTCGACCTTCTTCATCTCAAACTCATGCTGTATTTATCGTTTCTCTGCTTTCATATGTTCTTCCTCCTCAGATGTTTACTACAATCTCTATGATCAAATTTCTATACTTTAACTTCTTCTGAAAATCGTCCACTACGCATGCCAGCATCGGAATATTCTTCCATTGATACCAATCGCCAGTTCTCAACCGAATTGACTGTAAGTGATGTCTTCCCATTCCATCCTTCCCTATTCCATTAGGCAAATGCAAATGACTTGCTGCCATTTACAACAAATCTTCCTACTATCTCCCGTACAATTGATCAACCGAAAGCACCTAAGGTATACTAGTCGCCTTGTGCTTCTATCTTGTGAAGGGCAGAACTTAAAGTAGATTTTCTGGGCTCGACAAGTTAAATGTATTCTTCAATGTCCCCACTCTGACACGGTTACATTATCTTGATAACGATTGAATTCGCAAACATTTTGGTCTTATTGATATCCCTTTACTTTCAGTGTTTTGTTTTATTGGATCGCTATTCCTACTTCTCATTATCTGTAACCCTTCCTCCGTGAACAACAATTTTTACATTTTTATAAAAAAAATAAAATATATTCATTCCTTTCATATTTATAATTCTAAAACCCTATCTACTATCGGTTCATTAGAACTATTCAATTAAAATCAATAAGACCTCAATATAGAGAACCTCTCTGGGTGATCATCCAGAACGATATCTAAAATGGATTGTAAAATTAATGCATTTATTTGATAAACCAAAGACTCAGCAATGAACATATATAAATTCAAACTTTTGTGTGCTTATAACTATTAATTAAATTTAATGCAGGTTGATTTTAACAGAGGTTTATCATACATAAAAAATTAATATTCTTCTCTACTCTCATGTATTAGATTTTCAAAATAGAATTAACTAATCTAACAATTATTATCTGGGTATTATAATAAAAGAAGTACAAGTTATTCTGAGGGCAATATCAACATTTATTGAATTCGATTCTAAATAATATTTTATTATTAACTACTTGGTTGTTCAGAAAATTAGACCAGAATTGGTGTAAAATGAGACATGATTCAAAGCATCACAATCAATTTCTCAAACAATAACTTTAAATTGTTGCTAAAAAATTTTGTAAAAAATTATCAATTATATTCCTTCTGAATTCTAGACACCTTACATTATGTGATTAATAATAAATGTAAAAGTAACATAACTATTCCAGCATAATAATATTAAATAATTTTGATTAATTTAAACTAATATTGTTATAATTATCTGATATTAAATAATATAATTAAAATATCAGAAAAAATATTCTTAGTTGATCTCCATTCTATTACTTAAATATTTGATCATTATAAATTGTCAAAAAAAGATAAGTTTTGGTTAATATTTCAATTAGTAAAGTGAATATTTTAGTCACTATCTGTTAAACTGTCTCTTTATACTCGAATAAACGAATACATACTAAAGTAAAGATAAATACTGAATAAGTCGTTGATAGTTTACTAATCATTCATAGTCATACTTGTAATACAAATTTGTTCTAGATTACTTTTAATACTAGTCATAATATATATACATTTCTTAAATTATCTAATATTTTTATAACATGATACGAATATCAAATAGTATCCAAATTCATAAATTGATTTTAAAAGTATAATTAAAGGAATGGAAACTTCAAACCAATGGTATATAATTTAGTTTCGAATTTCTTCTGTATTAATTTACACAAAATTACTTGAAAATTCTAAAGAGATATAAAATGTTTAAATCATGAGAGTACTTTTCTTTGTTTCCAACGTGATTTATGAGTTTTTCAATAGACGCTAGGCATTTATATAATTCTAAATATTGAATTATTTTGATATTTTTATTTTTCCAGCGAGATAACACAGAGATTATTGAGATTATTGAGATTATTGAGTTCTGATTAAATGAAGAGATACTTAAATATTAGACAAATCGATTCTTTTGATTAATTTTTGTTTATATTTTCTTTTGTTGGAAATAAGAAACAAAATAAAATTTCTTTGTTAAATTAATGCTTTTATCTTATTAATATTATCTTAAAATCTAGTAATATAGGAAAAATATGCTTCAATTTTTGCTCAGAATAGACTATTAAATCCAATTAAACATTAATCTAATATTTATGTGTTTTATAATTAAAGTTTAAATCTTATGCTTCAATTAAAATAAGGGCTTAATCAGAGATTTTAAATAAATATATAATAAAACACCATTTATAAAATATATTATCATATAATAAACATAATTACATCAAATTTTATTCTGTTACTGATGAATCTCTATCACGGTTTCATCTTTACGCTAAACAATTGCATCAAGTACTTTCTTCTTTGAAGGTTCATGGGTACAAACTCCTTTACCACAAAAGAAAATTTCCCAGAACCCATAAAACACTATTAGTCCATACCCAACCATTACTATGAGACTTAATATCCAATGAATGAAGTCTTTCCATATTGGTATAATTTCAACTACAATATCCTTTAGGAGATATTTTACTGCGATTTTATTCATGACCATCATGCAAAAAAGGCAGATATAAACGACACCCAAAGGGATACAAAAATATTGTTATAAATTAGGATCAGTTTCCATCGCAAAGAGTCTTATTGTGGTTGTAATCAATAATAAGCTTTAAACACAAATGAAGGAGGCATAATAGTTAAGATAATTGCAGGCCCATGTGAAGGCTGAACAAAGCTTTATTCTTGGAGCTTTAATCACAAAATAGTGGAAAACTTCAGCCGACCCTACACTCCATCTCTTATTCTGCCTGATCCATTCAATGAATTCTTACCACATATTTGAACCAGAAGTAGGTCCTGAAATAGTAGGGCAGTATATCGGTTTTATCTTAAGAGCTCTTCTGCTTAAAGTTTTCCATCTAATGTAGCAGATTATGTCATCCATCTAATATGTTGGATGACAAAAGTCTCCCTCTATGTGTAATTATAAGGAAGCTGTGTAGACACTCATAATATTTATGTTTAAAGGAATTAACGCTCCCATCATTAACATATTTCTAGCTAATCCTGTAATTCTTGTGAAAAAACTAAGTTTATCAAGTCCCCAATTATAAAATAAAACTGGTTACCAAACAAAATTGTTTCTATCTTTCTCTTTCAGTATGTTCATCATTTAAATATCTAGAAAGTTTTTGTGAAATATTGTATCAACGTCAAAGTTAGTTACAAAGTATTTGTTAGGGTCAAAGTTGGAGTCGTTTTTTCTTAAATGAGCCAATACAGATCTAATAGCATAATTATTATTAGAGCATTTTCCTGGAATCTCTCCAGGAGTTCCATAAGGATGAACAGTAACTATGAGTTAATCGAAACAGTCTTTGAATTATTCAAATACTGCATCAATTTTGGTTTCCTTCTCTGGAGTTTTTTCCTCCATACAAACAACCATGATGATCTCTTTGGCTATTCTTTGTTGTTGAATGTTTTGGAGTGTTTTTAATAGTAATTCTAATGGTTCTTTGTATATAAATGTCATCAATATGAATTTGATAGGTGTAGGATTTGGAGGTTATTAAGAGTTGTTAGAAACCTTTTTCATCGTTTAGTGGATTTTTGATTATGTATTGGCAGCCAAAAATATAAATAAAATCCACAATAAGGCATAGAAACAGTTAACTCCTAAAGTAGCCTCTAAGGGAAGATAAAAAGGGAAGCCTGCCATTGCAATCATTACTACATTGATAATCAAATTCCATCTAATCCTTCCTCCACAAGTTTTGTCTTGCTTTAATGTCATCTTAGTTGCCATAGGGTTTTCTGGTAATTCACTAGAGAATACTAGCCTTTGATTGTTAGTGGCAGAACTCATTTGATAAATCGTTTTAAGTTAATTTTAATTTTGAAAACGATATTAGAAATTCAGAGAATATAAGCTAACAGGGTTGTTTTGTCATATTCATAATTAATTAACATTATATATTTTTTAAATTAATTACCATTCAGGTTTGCTTGGAATTTATTTTGAATTACTTCAAATTAGTTTTTTAAATCCAGTTAAATATAGAATAGCCTTCCAGTTACCTAAATTTATTCTTTATTTCAAAAAAATTTCTCAACAAATCTCAACTGCTTATTTTCAATTTTCATATAGATTCGATTAATTTTTCTGCCCTTATCGGGGCCTAATAGATATGTTAAGGAGTAATTTTGATGAAATATACCTTTTGAAACATTAGTTATTATTTTACTTATTTCTTTTTTTGCATCTCTTTGGCAATATATTTAAATCATTTATGTTTTCCAACAAGAATAAAAACAGATATAGTAAATTGTCAAACATCTTTATGGAATATAATTAGTCCTTTCATCAGCTCTTTGAAAATAGGTAGAGAAAAAGAGTAAACCAATTATTGTATTTTCCACTATTTTACAATTCAAAAAATCAGTTTATGTACTCTTAATTGTTTTTATACAGAAATAATATAATGTAATATGATTGGAATATATTAGTAAAGAAAGATAGTTTTATTATGCAAGATGATCTTGATTTAATATTAGATTGAAAACTATTTTTGCTTTTTTCTAATAATAAATACATAAAAAATCAAATAATAAAATCCATCTTTAGGATGATATACATCAATCTAATGTCAAGTAGTTAAATTTGGATATCAATAGTTTGATTTAGATGTTTCCAATAATGAATTATATATATTCAAATAGAGTGAAACAATTTTAATTTGAATTATTAATTTCTTTGTAGAGATTACATATGACGAATTAATATTTTTTATGCTAAAGACTTTATGGATAATTAATAAAAATGAATCTCTAAGGATTGAGCCTCGATTGGAATATTAAAAAGATTAGTGTTTTTTATGATTCAATTGATTATTACAAGATTGCTTAGAGAAATTGTAATATCAAACCTTATTTTGTTAATACATATAAGTATAAATTTTGATCCGTAATTAAAATATGAATTTTCGTAATTCCACTTTTTAAGCCTATAAACTTTTAAATACTATTAATAAGGCTCGATATTGATATTTATGATGTTAATGTGCAAGATCCATTTAAATAATTTTTTATTTGTGCGTTCTTAAAATTGAATTTTCAATATTCACAGCTTTCGCTAATCAAAGTTCGTTTTGATTAACCAAATCAAGTCTCTATTCTAAGTTATAATTATTTCAATTGGTAAGCCATTTTCACCTCTTAGGCTTATTTTGACAAAGAATCTAATTTTAAATCAAGTTATTATTACCAAACTCTAAATTAAGAATATATTGAGATTGTTAACCTTGTATGTAAAGCAGCTCTTAAATAGTTCGATGGACTAGGAAATATGAAATGTAATTTGAAGTCATTGCCAAATTAGTATTATATATATAGATTAATTATTTATAATTAGGCTAATCTTAACATCTTGGCTCAGCGAAATGATTTTGAAGTAATTTTTTATAGCACTATTCCTCACCTATTTTCTATCAAGAAATTATTAATAATCTCACTTGATATTTATAATCTTGAACTTTCAGAATTTACAATTTTATCAGATATTAGAA